AACACGCGAAAACCGACAAAACGAGCTAATATCACAACCGCGGAAGGCTGTCTGTCTGAATGGCAAAAGTATCTGAGCGCTTCTGAAACGTTTATGGTTACTTCAATTTTGCACTTGTTCTGATTGGCCAATGTTACGGCAGTAAATAAGGAAGTGTATACTCGGGGAAACATTCATAATTATAATCAGAGATTTATAAAGTTGTTATACATAATTACGCTGCACAGACGCGATGCTCGTATTTATGGAAAATTTAAATTGTTTCGCGATCCAGAGCGGAGGGCTTCGCGACCCTATTAGACTGCACTGGAGTACACCGAGCACGATTTGCCTGATATTTGATAGGTAAACTTTCTAGAGAAGAAGGATTACATACCAAAGAGCTATGAAATGAAGTACTTTGCAAAGTAAGAGTAATAAACTGCAAAAAATGTAACTATATGGACGGAGAAAGCAACTATCAGGAAAAGGAAATTTCGGAAGTTGATTTGTATAAATTGCAAGTAACTTTATCGATTTTGTATATTTTTATATGAATATAACATAAATTTAATATACAGGTATGTAAACAATGTGTTAAGTGTTTATATCTTTGGCCCGTATTCGATAATGAAGAATTTTTTTTTGGTGGAGGACTAATCAGTTTAGTGAATTGACAAAAATAGGTCCAAAGCATGGCCTATTCAAAGAATGAAAAATGATATTTTGTATGCAAAAGAACACACCAAGGAGATGCAGAAAGTATTCACTCCTCGCTTGCCAATTATCTTCTGTGAATTTTTGTGTTATTCACTGTGTTTTACAATTTATGTCTTATGTCAATATTCCTTGGAATATCACGCCATCTTAGGTAAACGAAAAGGCAGCCTCACTGTGTCATACGATTAAGCCGTCTTATCAGCGCTTTAGCAGTTTCAATGATCGTTTTATTCATTACTTATCGATCCTAAGATCGGTAAGTATATTGATAGGTATTTGTCTGTATGTATGTCTGTGTGTGTGTCTGTTAGATGAACGCGATATCTCGCGAATGCGAGGTTGAATCTGCTCCAAATTTTGCATGTGCATTCATCTTATCTCGGACCAGAAACCTATTGATTTTGGGCGAATTATGTCGTATAATTAGCGAGTTATCAATCAATTATTGATATAGTGATCTAGATTTTTGTAAAGCGAGAGAATTTTGAGACCCGCCGAGTGTGTGTGTGCGATGCGCAGTGTGCAAGTTACAAGAGCGGATGAATCGAAACTGCAGTTTCTGTTTTGGGGGATTCCCTAACTATCGATCGATAAGTCTTCGGTTTCCAACCGATATTCTCGTTTAACATATTGTTAAGGAAGTTGAAGTGATTTTTTCAGGCTCTCGCTGAGCTTTGTTAATTTATGGACATTACAGATTCGTGATGATAGGGGTGCATAATGTGATGGTATGACCATACCCACCAGGTGCGCAGCCAGAATTTTCAAAGGGGGGGGGGGTCAAAATCGGAAATTCTCTTCTGAAACAGACCCCGCGATTACGCACCCGGCGTATAATGACTTTTCTGTCATGAAAAAAATATTCATCAATCCATGTCAACTACGCGAATCTAAAATGTCTTTCTATATCAATTTAATTCTGATCAACGTAACACGCGGTTGCGTCTTCTTGCGACAGGATAAAAAATTACTACTCTAAAATAGTTATTATGTCCAATGCACCACATTGAGGGGGCGAAAATATATACTAAACGACCTTTGATCTGGAAACATACTCATTAGAAACCGCGTTATAAAAGATAGCATCACTGCACGTTTTAAAATCAGTTGCAAATGCAAAAAAGTGTCTCTTCCGTCTTTCAGCTTGACGTACGAAGCATTGGTTGCGGAGTCAGAGTTAGGCACCGCTCTCAGATTTCGGACAAAAAATATATATATATAGAAATATATGACACCGGATTTCGAAATAGATTCAGTATTAACAAGGAAAATTGGCGACCTCGACGAATACAAAATTTCTGGCTCAGGAAAATTGGATTCCAACTACAAATATATATATAATATGCCAATCACCGACTTCGCAACACGAGACACAGCCGTCATTCCTTTGATTTGATCACATGAGATGATAGTGGTGCGTCAGTAGGTAACAGTGGCGCGGGAAGGGGATTCGGGGTCGCCGTGGATCTATGGACATAAAAATATCAAAAATAAATCAAAAATACATATTCATCGCCTCGAAATCCCCGCGGAACGGATTCTGAAACAGTCGCCGCATCATTACTCTAGAACAGCTTTTCCCAAACTGTGTTCCGCGAGCGTCTCCAAAGTGTTCCGTGGGAAAGGAATCAAAAATACGTCTAAAATGGTCGCCAAGGCTATCTATGGAACGTGAAGTTGTCGCACAAGTGACCGTTCGATATCTCGTCAGCGACTAACTAGGGTGGGGTAGTGGTATTATCGTTAACCTTCGGCCTAGCCTGTTGACTGTTAAGTTCATTATCAGCAATCAGTTTACAGCAATCCTTTTGATTTTGCTATAGGCGAACAAGTAGGTCTAAAGCAGGGGTCGGCAAACTACGGCCCGCGGGCCAGATACGGCCCGCGGGACAATATAATCCGGCCCGCGACGCTTCACTCAAATATATTAACAAAACAACTGTAATGACGATTATATTCTTTACGTAACAGAATTTGTTTTAAGACACTAAATCATATTATAACTTAACAAGTATATAATTCACTATCACTCGTTTAATGAGCCTATAAATTGATTATGATTAGATAAATGGTAACAGAGTGTAAAAAAGTTAATGCTGAGTGCAAATGGTTAAATGACGCAGAAAATATTCAAATGATCAGTCTTCGCGCTGCTTAAAATTTAACTGAAATTTGTGTGACAAAATGTGATTCATTAGCCATTCGCTCGGTTTTTAACGTTCTAGAAATATGTGCGGCCCGCCAATGACTTGCGACCTTAAATTTTTGAAGTAAGTTATGTCTCAAATTTACAATAAATTGGGATCTGGTCCTATTACACTGGCTTAGGATGCAACAGAATTAAAAAAGGAACAGTTTCTTTATTCAAATTTGAACACAATATTTTTTTGCTTCATTTAGAATTCCCAACAAAGGTTCAAAATATATTGCAACAACATGTAAACACAATTCTAATTTTCCAACCAAACATGCTTAGCAAGAATAGACTTTGTTTGAACTTTAGTACAGCTCTTTCTGTGGTTGTATCATATTCATAACCATCTGGAATATATATAGAGAAAAACATACATGATAAATAAGGTGCAATGCAAATTTTTGAATATAATACCTATGCAGAACAGCGAACGAATGTATAAAAATTGTGCTGATTTTAGGAATAAACGCTTTTACAGTCGTGATGAATTGATTTTGCTTTATCAAATACGACATAGCTCATTCTTAATTTTCTATTAGCCTAATTAAATAATCACCTTTAGACATGTGTGTTCACATGTTACAGCTTGAATATGTTTCTGTTCCGTGGATTTTTGATGGCACGCAATGGCCCGGCTCACATTCGTTAGTTGGAGGCAATAAGTTCACTGAGACTGTTTCCCTGTTTCACAGTCCGATATAAACTTCATCATTGTTCATGTTTTTTATGTAAATAATATATAGGTATTAGAATCGAAAAAGGCAATGAACATTATATATGTTAAACAACCATGTCATATCAGTATTTAAGAAACTTTGTGTCATTTGCTGTACATATTGAAATATATAATATAATATATGATTGTCTGAAATCAACATGTTTTGTTATTTCATCATTGGAGTCTTTTGACCCAATGCTATATTTGAAAGGTGTGTCGTACTCTATTTTGTGAAGCAACAGCTCAAACTCGCGAATGAAAAGCGATAGAGCCGCGTCCCCTCAAAGTAAGGTAAAAGTAGTGTCTGGCAGCCGTCACGCTCCGATGGTTGGTATGAAAGTTGGTAATGGACCTCTCCCCGAGCATCGACTTCCTTGTTTACATTGTGACATTGGCCAATCAGCAAGATGCAAAAAGTGACGTAACAATGTTCCCTTTTCGCATCCGCTCACACTCTTTTCTTACTCAGACAGATTTTTAAGCGTGGTCGTAAACATTATCTCATTTTCGCGTTTTTGAATTCCATTCGTCAGTTTTCAGTTGTGTTTTGGAAACTTAAATATAAATCAGATAATTCAATAATCACTCTGTCTTCCTAGGAGTTTTAATTTAATTGCAGTAATAAAAAATTAGTGTAGAAATAGCTGTGATAGACCAGGCTAAAATTCTTTACCGGTACTTTTAAAAAAACAGATTGTTGTATGCGATGAATCATAATGATGGTTTGCAACACATACCCCATTTTACAGGCGCCAACTCGCAAAAGCACTCTTAAAATAGCCCCGAAAATTTTGCAATGGTATAGGAAGAAATTTTCGGGTGTCAAAGGTCGGGGAAAGGTCCATGCATCGTGCGTCAAGCTAAAAAAAACGGAAGAGACACTTTTTTACAAACTGATCTTAAAACGTGCAGTGAGCTATCTTTTATTACGTGGTTTCTAATGAGTATGTTTCCAGATCAAAGGTCGTTTAGTATGTATTTTCGCCCCCTCAATGTCGTGAATTGGACAAAATACCGGTGGAAATATTACACGTAGCCCAAAGTAGAGCTGCACAAGTGTCGATTGTGGAGTCGTTTATGTTGGTATTTTGCAGTCGTGAGGCCTTTACCAGACAATCGAGTCAAAGCGCCCACAGATAGAAACTAATGCATTGTATTTGTCGCTGTGTTGGCTACATATACAAGAGAAATATTGACTATGTTACCGGCATGTCTGTCACGACGTTCTGACGTTTATTGCTATTTCGTCGCACATCGAAATATACTGGAAGCAGTCAGTCTTTTGTTATCGGACGGTCAACGGAAGTACTGCTTGATGACGCACTTTGCGTCATATGACTGGACCCACGTTGTTAACTTCATTTCCTTTCATTTTTTTATTTTTACTTCGGTTGCCAGCTTCGACTAATGCAAATGGGTTTTGACGCAAGTGGGTTACGGCGAAAGAAATGATGGTATCTACTACTAGTTATTACCAAAAAGGAAGAGCTGTCAACACCTAGCCCACTACCGCTAGTTGTTTCGCTTGGCCATCAAACAGCAAGGTGATTTTTTTTAAAGTCGGTTAGAAGCTGTAGTCGTAGAATTGCGGTTTATATCAGTCCGTATAATATTTTCATGAAAGTGAAAAAAATAATTTAGGAAATATTCTGACAAAGTATATGCCTTTATGAAATATTGCACTGACGCAGCGAATTACAATTGCAAGTATATATTTGCTTGTATATATTTGAAGAGAGTCTGATCATAGATTGTACGCTATCTGATTTTTTCGGCAGTTGAGAAATGGCAGTGTTAGTCTGGCCAGCTAGAAGCCAAATTTATAAACTTTTACTACCTTGAATCAAATATTGATTATAATAATATTCAAACCTCAAATGTATGTACGTATGTTTATTTGACTCAAATATGTAACAGTATCTGCATAATAATCAAACAGTATAACAGAGACGAGATACATGTTCAAGACCATACTGGCCTAAGACGCAGACGTGCGACATGCATTCCTAACAAGTATATCTGAAGTGTTGACTGAAATGGCTGTATGTATTGTTGCGAATTTACACTTGTTACACATTGTTCTTGTTTCAGCTGCTAGAGTTTTTATTGTGAGAATGGGAAATGAATGCTCCGCCATACGAGGTGGTAATACAGAAGCTACATTATCATCATTGACCGGAACCATAGCTTCCGCTACTAACTACGACGATGATGAAGAATGCAAATGGTCATTCAATCCAAACGGGCTGCAAACGGACGTCATGACCATTGCCGTGACGTCAACAAATGTTGAATGTGATAAAGCATCTTTCAAAATACATGGTACTCGAATTAAACCTCACACATTTCTTCGTTTTTTAGATCTAATAAAATTTTTGGCACCAGATGTTTTAAAGTTTAAAATTATTTGTGGAAGAGAATAATTCTTCAACCCGTAATCGTGATATTTTAGCAAACCGAAATTCGAGATTTTCAAATATACAAAATATGAAAACCGATATCCATTTACTTATAAATAACACGTTTTTATTCAAAATAACTGCAAAACATAGATTATCAATCGTTTAAAACGTGTAGGAAAGATTTCTTGCTATCGACTATAGTAGGTCGAAAAAAATTCGCTTCGTGACTAGGTCTTATTTTAAGGGGAGGGCTTATATTAAAATGATTTTCAAAATTCAGGCTAGGTCTTATTTCCAACAGGGTAGATCTTATTTTCGGCGAAACATGGTAGTTACCATAGCAAGGGTTATGATTACTCAATACAAAAGTCAATACAACCAATTTATTATTGATCTCTTGCAGTATTGAAATTACCGTGTTATACGAACTTATTAGAAAATCTTGTTACAAATATAAAAGTAAAAATTTATATATATATATATATCCAATGATAATATTCTGGCATGACGTAATGTCATAAAACTGGTTTCAAATAATCAAAAGCAAGTATTTAATTGGCAATGACTTCATTTTCTGGTACCCCCCGCCCATAGGTTTCCGTCCCTCTACACAACTTGATGTAAAGTAGGCAAACAAAATTAGTTACCATATTGGTATACATACTTCTGGAGCGCCAATTTCTTTAATCTACAGTAATTTCTTGACCACGCCACCCCTAAATTGGTTACGTCTTTTATTATTGGTAAAATTGAAACGCAAAATAGTAAAAACGCGTATCCGGCGTTAGAAGCTGTTTACATTAAAATTGTGGTATTGATTATTATTAATACTTTTGACCTGGTTTATCGTATCTTTTTTTAGGAAATCAATACTGTGACAAGACCAATTCATTTTGTTTAATATTTGACCGTGGAAACTGCAATGGAAATTACAATCCGCACCAATGCCATATTACAAATATTGATTCATTTCCTTCCATTCAATTTAGAGGCAAAGACGATGCGAGAAACAAGGGATTTTCTCTGACATATACTTTTACAAACTGTGATAAACTGAGTTAGTATTTTATATATGTATTTGAATGTTTACTATTTTAATGTTTTTGGCATGCTATGCTTATAAACAAATCGTATAATGCATGTCGAGTATTATTATAGATATTATAGTCAATAATTGCCCAAGTTAAATGATATATAATTAGCAAAAAAAATAAGAAATCATTAGAGAACAATCAAAATGGGCACGGTTTTATATTCATTCTAGTATATAAACCGTCGTTGATTTGATAAAGCTGTTCCCAAACGACATCGGGAATTTGAAATCCTGCTTTATGGCTTGTACATTGATGAACTATGTAAATTCATCTTATTTAAATATTATACATCTTCATATTTTGCATATCCTTAAATTGACCAACACGCCTGGCTTCTGGAGTGTTTTTGTGTGCATATCATTGGGAAATACCATTATATGATTTGTATCTTGTGTACTTTTATATTTCTACAATTTACATTTTAACAGATGAACCGACAACAACTACAGCGTATATACCGACACCTACTTTTACTTCTACGGAAGATGACTCGACAGCGCTTGGGACATTCACTCATTCTTTGACAAGCATAAAACCGTTAAATTTTACCTCACAATATTTTGAACACAACACCTCTGTTATTACCTCACAACCTGAAACAACCATTAGAATTGAACCTTCAACGGCAGCATCTACAGGTAATCTGAAATATATATGACACCAGAGATTATTCTATTACGTATTACCAATAGGGTAGTAAAGCAGCGCGATATGTAGAAATTATAAAGTAGTAATGGTTATTGAAAAATCACAAAAAATAATCGGAAACGAAGAATACGCTCTATTGATACGTCCTCTGAATTTGCTCGAAATGCCGCATTTCACTTTAACTTTGTAGCGTTTTGTGGGTTTCAAATAGCTGTTGTTCAGGTTCCGTTACCATTTACATCTCGAGGCACCAGATCTGTTCATTAATTCATGACGAAGTATTGTATATATCAATCAATATATATATAAAATAGCACCTAATTAGAGAATAACACCGAGAGAAAGAAATCTGGAAATGACTGCCAAAGCATATATATGGGCGTTGTTTTGTGAACCATTACTAGGATAGAGCAGCCCTTCTAATGTGCCTGTAACTCCCGTGGCCGAAAAAGGAGATACCCCTTTAACATGAAGAGATGCGAGAAACATTTTCATCCCAGGCATGAGAAAAGCTATTAAGGCAGCCCAAACGGATGATGAACCACGGCCTCTCGTCCGGTTACCAGTCTATCTCGGGCTTGGGAATATATATCTAGCTATTTGTTTCAGATGCATTGGACTGATGGTAATATGGTACTATGAGATCATGTCTGAGATAGTTAAAACCTTCAAACCGGAAACTTTATAATCGTGTGACCCCAAGTATATTGTCTATATATGTTATTAATAAAATGAAAATAGTTTCCGCCATCAAAGGAACTAGTGCTGACAAGCAGTTGGTGTACTGTAGATGACATATTATATTGCTTCATCATTAAAATTACGCTTACTGACGGTTCTTTTTATCTAATTTTTCAGGATCAACAATTATCGCAGGCCAATTGAATATTATTGTAATACTGCTACCGATACTGATTGTCATATTTCTTCTTGCTTTTATTCTACTCATAGTTTTGTGTATGAGGTAAGTCCCTCAAAACTCAAGAAATCGGATGCTTTTGGACACTTTCTTTAGCTTTCATTTAATTCCAACCCTTTAAAAAAATTGCGCAAAGCATGATCAGAATTACGGGCGAACACTATAATTCCAAACTTTACTGGAATTATATAAATTTACGGTGGTGCATTGAGTGCAAACAAATGCCGATTGGCCCGAGACATGAAGCAACTTGAGGCAATACGATCAGGAAACAGCTATGAACAGTGATTCCCACACAATCGAAGTTCATGGAAAAAGCAAACAAAAATTTATTTGTCAAATACCAAACCATGTTCTATTTAATGATATATGTACATGCCTCACATCAAAACGGCTGGAATGGCTTATTTTATTATTGTTATATTGTCTTTAAAGTATAAATGATTACACACACGACTTTTACAAAATTCATCTTTTTGTTCATTCTTTGGTATTATATTAAGTTATCGTATGTTCACATTTGTTGCTGTGCACGGAAAAGTGTAGATGTATAAAACAGAACACGACATTTGGACAAATTAGACTATGCACACCACACAGATATTTGCATTTGTTGCACACAGTTGTTCTTTGATTGGAACCGCACATTCATAACATTCAGAAGACTTCCGCACAGTAGACAATAGACTACATGTAAAATGCTGGCTGAGAAAATTTTGGTTGCCTGTGTTTTCTAATTTTTATTAAAATAAAATAAAACATATATGTATACAAATTTAGACGAAGAATGGCAAAGAAATATTTGAACAATACACCTCATTTGACCACCACCATAGGCGAGGATTATGTCGCAGCAGATGACATCATAAATGGTCAACGCAACACTACAATGAATTTTGACCAATCCTATGAAACTATTCCGCAAGGGAGATCACAACCAGACATAGTTCCGATATATTCTGTAGTGGAGAAATCTCCTGGCGCCGTGGATTCGAGTCAAAGTTACGAAACAGTAACTTTCCCGAATAGGGATGTTGAAGGAAACAATCTCACATTCAAAAATATGCAGAACCATGTCTCTCGGCCGACTGCGGTGTATTCTGTCGTACGCAAGAAACCAAAATCTTCAGGCCGCAATATTATCATCAGTAGCCACATACCGAATACCATTGTAGAGTCCAACAACGAAAATCAATACGTAGCTGCCGGCGACGTCTTAGATAAGTCAGCCGAGCAGTCTTATGAAGAAGTTGCCATCGGAACGTCTCGAGAAAATCACTCAGCATTCGACAAACCTGAATTGTATTCTGTTGTCACTCCCATGCCAACCCACTCGAATAAAAAAAATGCTATAGACGAGGAAGGAGTCACATACGACAATCCATCGTTCATGGAGGATGAGTACAAGAGTATCGATGGTGGTAACACAGATAATTTTTCAGATCCTGTATATAATAGATTATCCAGATGTTGATTATATTTTTTCCAGATGCTTATTTTTAATAGTGAAATAATTTGGGAACTAATTTTATTTACACTATACTAGGGCTGAGCATTTCGAATCGAATGGGAAATTGTTCGAATAGATTAACATGCATATTTCGAATCGCCGACATTTTTTGTCCGCCAGAGGTCGAGGTGGATTTCTCATTTTTTTTCTTATTGAAGCCCTATTTTTACAATGCACTGGCATATGAATCTTTTCTTCCAGTGAGTTGTTAATGGAACATTTCCGTTTATGTGTGGACTCTTAACGAATTGCCTGAGTAAAGTATATTTACTATATTTTGGGTAATGTGTCTGGGGCACCCATTACAATAAAAAGTAACGTACAATTACACATCTTCCTACACACAAGTATTCGAGATTTGAAAATATTATTCCATTTGATTTTGAAATCAAGGTATTAAGGTCGAAAATGCCTAACTCCACAAGATACAGAGTTTATTGTAAATAAATACATCTTTGAGCGCTGAGCGCATATCAGACCTTTTATTGTTCCCAACATTTGCAGTTGTTTCATTTGATCGTCGAGATGTCTGCGATTTTATTATTAAAAATATGCACTTCATCTTGTTGTATGCAGTGGCGTATCTGGGGTATGGCAGCCATGCCTCGTGCCACGGACGCCGTTTGGATTGGGACGCAAAACGAGCGAAACGTTTTCATCGTCAAATGTTTCAATAAAATAATTTCGATTTGGAAATAATTGAAATTTGTATTTTTACCTAAGTAATAAATCTTCTCAAGTTAACAGCTGTCGTTAAAATTTTTTAACCGAGGTTCAAGTAAGCGCATTTCTAAATTTGGCATGGGCCCCATTTACGTAGATAACGAGACTGGTCCTATATACCTTGCTAAATGGTAATCGCACTTGCACCGCGTAGGCATGACAAAATCATATCGCACGATCCTAGGCCATTAACTAATTTGCCTGCACCCTGAGTCATCGCAATAACTTGGTTTTAAAACCGATTTTCGTTGGGCGTAAATTTGGCTTTGCATTTCATTGTAATGTAATTCTGGTTAAGCAGAAGAAACGGGGCCATTTTCATTTCTTACACATATATTACGAAAAAAGTTTCTCTGCTTATTACAGCTGCTCTGAGAATGCTTTATTACTTTTATGTCAGTCATCGAGAGCCAACGCGATGTTATGATACCTTTGAATAGGTAGAATACAAAAGAGCTTTGTTGAGGTCATATGTTTCCATATATATCTCATTGAGCCTTATCGAACTGAACAGAGCACGGCACACTCGACGACCAAGCGACTATTGTAATCTTAGGTAAAGGTCGATTTATGTCAAATAATGGGCGGTTTTTGGTGGATTTCGTCGATATAAAGTGTCACATAGTAAACAGATATGAATCGAGCAGAATAAATGAAATGCAAAAAGCTTGTAAAGCCGTAACCTCCTCTATCAATAGCAATATAAAATTATTCAGTTTTTCTATGGCATATATATTGTTTCAGCTCTTTTGTATCATTTAGTTAGACCCACGTTGATCTTTTGTATGTTCGTATGTGTATAACGTTATAAAGAAGTCATACGAAGAATGCACACCAGCGAAGTTTGTGCTATAAGAATGTTACATCACGAGTATTGCGTACAGAGATGCAAGGTTTACTTCTGAGTACAGCATTATGGAAAGACAAACCCTTCAATCCTCGCTGCCGGTACATTTTGAAGTGTCGTCAAGATTATCATGAAACAGTAATTCCTTTAATTAAACATTCCTAATACAGAATACGTAAAGTTGATCTTGGTCATATTGCTAGCTTTTTGACGTGAATGGTACACAGTCTATTATTTTCAGGAATAACCGTATTTCCCGGCGAACAAGTCGCTTTTCTAGACCTAAATTTTTAGCCTGATTTTAGGGGGGTGGTCTTCTTAGGCGAGTATGATAATTTCCATTTTTTTGGTGTCGCCTTATTATGTATTAGGTAATGTTCTTTTTCGGTGGACGCAATCGCGAGTTGAACACAGCTAGATTAAAATTTAAAGACAGTTTAAATTCCCATAGTTATTATGGATTGAATATTACGCTACAAAAAAACGTCATTATAGCCTATTTTAACAAATGCCCAAACGCGGCGACCGCTCAAAAGGCATTGATGGTAATTTGAGATTCCGATGTTGATGCGATTTTACTACCCCGACTTATTGGCAGGTTATATGCAAAAACCCATTTTTTTCAGGTTTAAATACGGGCCTGTTCTTATTAACCGGGTAGACCTATTCGCCGGGAAATACGGTATTTATCAAGACCCTACAGGTGTCACAATTACTCCGGTGTCTATAAACCTTGTTTTGGCCTGAAATGCCAGACGAATAATATATATATAGATCACAAGAGTGGTTTAGTGAAATAGACTGTTTATTTCATTTAGGTTCATTTTAAATTCCAGTTAAAATTCATCAAGTTCTTAAAATACATTTCGAGTATATTATAAAGTGGATTATAAGTACTACAGAAATCTGAAACAATGGCAGCAATGCACTGGGAAGCTCGAAGAAAACAGGGCGTTCTAGAAAGATCTTTGGCAGCCAGAGAGAAGATTTTCAATTTCAAGAAAGCCTGTACTCCGGTATTAACTGGTTAGTATGTTTAATATTTTTGGAATTGTATCAGTATTTGTTGTGGGCAATAACCATTTGTCTCATGGAAATTTTAAATGTCTGTATTGACTACATATTTCACATTACAAGAGTGACCGGACCCCCTCGCTCCGCTGCCATTATAACGTCTTTTTCTATTCAAAAAGACCACAACAGCCCAAGTACCACTTCACCAGGCCTCCGACAATACAGATCTCGCTCTATGCTTCCCGACACACGACGAAGTCGGAACGATATTGAACTTCGACAAGCGTTACATCAAGAACAACGAAATCAGTTTTCAGCTAAAATCCCGTATCGATATAGCGTAAGTATTTATATTCGTAAATGTACCATCACCATCATATAACTGCAGTCTGCGACATTGGCTTGTAATATTTAACATTTTTGAAATAAATCCTAATCAAACTGAATTTGGACACGTAAATATTCCTTTGAACATATCGCTTTGTTATTATTTTTTAAGTATAACTTATATTTCGGGGTGAAATTAACAAATTTTGTTATATTATTTTTCTCCAGTCAACGAATTACACACAACAATGGTGAAGACGACGATTCGAACAATCAGACGTTACGCAATACTGTTAAAACAAAGAACAAAGCTAAATTGAATTTAAAACTACAGTAATAAAACTTTTAAATTACGTAGCTGGATTGAACCAGGATGCTTTTATTGACTATTCGTGTAAAAAAATGAAAAATATGTTGTTACCGGTAACGAAACGGCATATTCAGTTTACCAACGAACATATTACACACGAAAAGGTACTTATTTATGAGAGGCCGAGGATGAAATGTCCATTCCACGGTTAGTTTTCAATTCTTTACAATGATTCAAAAATGTGTCAAATCACGGAGTAAGAAAATCATTATGTTAATTATTGTTCTGAAGCTCTTCATTATATATTTTGCCAAAATAGGATATTTTAATTAATGTTTACTTTTTGACTTGTTATTGAATTTTCATATTTACCAATAAACTTCGCAACTTATTTAATAATCTGATATCGTTGTTGCTTGGAAACATGGAATAGGTTCTCGAGATGATGAGATGGCATTATAAGTCACGTAAGCTAATATAGTAAAGGGGAAAAGTTCCTTTATTTTTAGGGTTTTTGTATGCTCACTAATACCCAGTATCATTCACAATATTGAAGAGATGCGACAATACAAAATGTATTACGTATAGTGACTAATACTGGTTACTAATACTACGCGTTTCCTCATTTTGTGAAGGGCACATGAGACTGAGTGGGCATGAGAATTTGGATAATTCGAACTTTCCAGTAAAACAAATTCAATTGTTAGCGTACTGACTGCGCTACTAAACTATAATGTTGTTTTTATGTCATTATTTCGTATTACGAAATACCTTTATAAGATCAGAATTTGATGGGAAATATTTGAATTCGATGTTTTCAAACTATAAAACTATTACAATAACTGATTTTGAACTTTAACTTCAGGGTTATTTACCTAAAATTGAATCCATTTAAATTATTTATCTCAACTTATCTTAATTTATAATAGAGTGATAAAAATATATTGTTTTTAAACAAAACAAAATCTATTGTTCACACAAGTTATCTTTTGATTTTCGGCTACTAGAGCAATTATTCCCAAAGAAAGTTTATTATGAAATGAAAATATCTCCTAAATTACTTCTTTTTAATATTTTTTCATTTCGCTAGCATCTTGAAGATCGGTGTTTCACTGAAAATTACGTTGTTCCTGATCGGAGCGAATGACACGAATAATCGTCGTATAGCAAAATTAAATAAGGGACGGATGGTAAAAGATTAGCATATCAACGAAGGGTTCAATAAATTGTATTACAAATGCACAACTCAAACTTCACACAAATTAAACATCCATAAACTATGAAAACGATAAATATTACGAAATAGTACATAAATATGTCAGCTTGATTTATGGATCCATGAGCAATATGAATATTATTAAACAAAAGTACTGTCATATATTACGGAATATTGACGGATATTAAATTTAAAGGACTGGTATCTGGGTATATAGTCCTAAACGCGTATCCCGGTTACATCTTAAATGAGACGATTTAACCTTAAGAATTGAATCTAATTATAAAACACTGTCATCAAATACGCGCTTCCAATTCGGGCCAATGAAAATCTGTGCATGTTAAATGTTGAAGCAATGATAAAAGAAAAAAGCTTAAACGTATGCTTAAGCTGTGACGTAGTCGATCCGAAAATCTATGAATAAGTTTCGAGGATAAAAAGTACAAACGATTGAAATCTTCGTCACAACTTGAAGAAGTGAGTTGTTATCTGCATCTTGATATCTAAAACACTTTTTCACTAATTCTGACTAGGAAAAGAAAATCTAAAATGGACAGCGACGGGTGAGAAATTTTTGATTCAAATTTAAAAATTGTGTGAAGTTATGCGTTTGAAATATAATGGTATTATATACTAAACAAATGAAAAACTTCAAGCTGTTGGATTCGTACTAGTATTGCAACATCAATTATGGTTGCTATTGTCTTGTATGTTGAATATAAACATATACTGTACCGCAGTGTTCTTCAACCTTTTTTATCGTGGTATACCTTTTACAAATTTTCAAGAGCTTTGTATACCTCACAAAAACCAATTTTATTTAAGTCTTAAATAAACATCAAATTCCAAGCCTATATTGTACTGCAACATCATCATGCAATCTAATAGACTAGTGTCCGCAAGTTATAAACTTGGCCGACAGCTTCAGCGTTAACGGGAATAATGTTCAACGTAAATCAAACGAAGTGCACGGCGGCCGAAATCACCAACCCAGACACGTGACCGCATTATCTATATAATTTGTTGTGTAAGAACGTGCTCACGTCGGTTCTTTGCGTAACTGACAGGTTATATTTCATGTGCGCCGCGTTTGCATTGTTGTCTCCACTTGAATATTTTATAATTTATTATATCAGAATTTAGCCTCCCTGACGTACTTAGGCTGTACACCCTTCGTAAACCCTTTATCAGTTGTATACCCAAAATTTGGCCCGGTATACATTTGGGCATACCGTATACCCGACTGAAGAGCACTGCTGTACCGGCATCGCTGTAGGAGCTGGAAAATGTAGCTTTTTGTTTAAATGTAGACATAACAATTAGCGTTTAATTATATCGGTATATCTATTTTTCAGCGTCATTCATCAATTAGACGAAGTTTTAAACAACGAAGAATCTTGTGAGTGTTTGAGAAAAGTACAATTTTATTAATAATAATAACTAGATAGCGATCGGAGACTGCCGACTTATTGATCTTCAACATGTTCCCTTCGCTCTGACTCAACAGCGACACCGCGTATCCCATCACTAATTAATTAATAACGAGATGTGATGAATGCACATGCAAAATTTAGAGCAGATTCAACCTCGCTTTCGTGAGATATTGCGTAACATACGAAAGTGTCTAACAGACAAACAAACAGACAAATACCTATCCACATACTTACCGATCGAGATCGATAAGTAATCATAAAAACGTTTTTAAGTGATAATTTACCTAACAAGTGATATACATGGTGCAAACATTCAAAATAATATTTATTATTTCATTCAGTGTACAGACCCAAAGTGGATGAAATTAGTAATGCTGAGAGCGAAGAAGGGCTTCATTTAGAACACATTAAATACCCAGAACATTATGAATATCATATGAAGAAAGGAGGACAATTCAAAACAAAGGCACCTGTTGATTTGGATTCTGAAGATAGCGTCGGTCCAGGTAGATTTGGTAGTTGCCTGGAGTTTTTTCAACATTTTTCAATGCTTTGTTTTTTATTAGTCTTTTACTATCTTTTGTTTAGTCTTGGCCTGTTTATAATTTCTGCAGGTTGCGGCTTAGATGAAAACTCTTGCAATGGCAAATGTGCATTGTTTTGGGGAGAAAGATGCATGTGTACAACAAGAAATACATTTCTAATTGGACTTAAACGTGTTGTTACCAGAAGTAAGATATATTTTTAAGTTGGGTTTATCCCTTGGTTAGTTCTTTTTCACTGATATGTTACCGCCAAAACGATGAGTTATACACATAACATTTATTTATAAATGCTGGTGCTATCTTTGAAGTATTTATATCTTGCTATAGATGAACTTTATTTCTGATTGGCTTTGGCCGTCCATTACACAATATTTTCAGACTAAAACATAAAATCGAATCATCGCAAATAGTATTTTGAATCAATTCCTGAAATTGGATACACCTGTTTAATTTATTTTATTTTTCAACATAATCCGAATCCAATTGTCTATTGTTTAGCTGCAGCATATTTACAACTACATAAACGCAATATATTTATCCAAATATAATATATATGGGTATTAAAATAATATATGTTCTATATTTTTCAGTTATAATGTGCTTTTTATTCTGGGGATTTTTCTGGTCAATCACAGCAATAACAAATCATAGTGCTCTCCCAGGAGGAAATTTATTTGGTAAGTTTTGCATATTGTACTAGAAAGCACGGTTTGATGAATTATTTGAAAAAACCCACTGAAATTATTTTAAATATTTGAAATTTGCAGAATAGTTCTTGAAACACATAAGATAATTATTTTCGTTGGTACTAAAGCATTAGTAATACTCAAAGCATAAGATTTTACGAAACAAACGCGTATAGAAGGATAGGTAGTCTCGCATAACCCCGATCGCTAGAAAAGTATTTTTATTAATAATGTATGGATTCAATGTCCAATGTTCAACGTCAAAGTTGTAAAAACCAAGCGAACCTGTAGTTGTTTTATGAAAAATAGACTATCAAATTGCTATAATATGAATTGCAATTAATCTCGTGTTGAAATATGGAAATTTTATTCTTATACGAAATGTAACCCAATACAATATTGTATCATTGCAATTGACTTTGAAAATATCAAAATTTAAAGCAGTGTTACGAGAGTTTTTTCGTAAATTAAAATTACGAAAAGTGTAAATTATTCAATTTAGTCTGTTTCAATTCAATTTTAATTTTGAATATAGATGTTTTTATTTACAGACTATTATTTCATTTTCTACAGGTATTTTGATGGTTTTCTTGTTTGGTATAGCAGGGGAATCGTTAATTGAAAAAATACCACTTCCATTTGACCTTCCAGGACTTCCTCCATTACTCGGTAAGTTTTGAAGGAGAGAAAAAGTGATTGTAAATACTGGACAAAATATGAAAAAGGAAAAAATGAGAAAACGAGAGCCAATTGGGAAGTCAAAAAACTCTAATTCGAGAGATTAAATCTGATAATATGACCCGACCCACGAATAAAGCTAGATTATTTTTTCCGTCTATTTCATTAGAAGCGAAACTTCCTATGGCTAAATTGTTGTTGTCTTGTTAGGGTGTTTGGAATCAATTTTGTTGCTTCGTTATGATGAAATAATCTCATTTGAGTCATCTCTGCGTCGTGTGGGGCCCCATAATTTACCCAAAATTTTGTAGGCTTCAGAATTCAAGGGTACACCTTCGTATGTCATTCGCTATCATTTTATTTTACATTTGGCCAGAAATTTGTTGACAATGCAATAGTCGTGTATTCTTCGTGTTTATGCACTTGACCATTTTTTTTAATAGCCATATTAATATTTTCGTGTAAGTCGTGCATTCAACAATTCCTCAACTACATTGAACTTATATTCTCAGCTTCGCTTGTGGTTGGCATTATTTTGCGAAATGTGCCCGGAATTTCAGTTGCAAAATGGATCAAACCGAACTGGTCGTTTACACTCCGACAGATGGCACTCGGGGTTATTTTAGGAGAAGCCGGTGTTGAAGTCGACAAGCAGGTAATTTGTTCAAAATTTTCTATTAGTTGATCGTTAACAAAATTATAAAATAATTCTATTTTAACAGCAAATGTATCTCTTGAGATGGGTCGTACCAAGACTGTCGTTTTTACCTTGTTTGAGCGAAGCTTTTTCTTGGGGAATTTTTTCGCATTGGATTCTATCTTTGCCATGGCTATGGTCATTCATGCTTGGGTACGTTTGCAAATATATTAGTTTCGCAATTGCCGATTCATTTTAATGAATATGCTACTATACCGAGGCTTTCTTTTGTCCTATAACCTATTTTTTTAAAATAATTTTTGTATTGAAAATGTATTGCAATGATATATCATTAGAAGGTGATGAATCAAATTCACATAGTATTATTTGATATATAATTTCAACATCAAACTAGATTCGATTTTGCATTGCGATATCTTTAAAACAATTGATAAGTTTAACTGACGACTCTCTTCGTTAAACCGTATCCGTTTGTTTTGTAGTTTCGTATGCGGTGCAGTTGCTCCAGCTTGTGTTGTCCCATCGATGATTAGATTTCAAGCGAAAGGAATGGGGGTCAGTATGTATAAAGATAAAAAGAAGATAACATTTTCATAACATTAATGTCTGAGTTACAGATCTTAACGTTAGTAATCAGTAATAAATGCCGAGTCGAACTTCAAATAATTCTTTGCTTGTATTACACCCTAATAGTATTTTACACACATAGGTTCTGCGAGGAGTTCCAACACTTTGTATGGCTGCTGCGTCGATTGACGATATTATTGCTATCAATGGATTTAACATACTTCTCACAATTACCTTTTCAACAGGTAACGTTTAAAATCATTTGATATTTTAGTCAAACATGAATGTGCTCATATATCCGAACTGCTAAAAACGTGTTTTGTAAATGCTGGTACAGATGAAAAACCTTGGTGTGGGATTTATGTTATTCCCCAAATCGACGCAAAACAATTAGATCAGTGGTGTGCAACATTCTGCCCGTGGGCCACAACCCGGCCCGCCAAGTTATTTAGTGTGGCCCTTGTCAACTCTCAGATTTTCCCCATCCCGCTGAATTTTTTAGCTAGATGTCTGAAGTTGATTATATGGCCCACTGACAAAAATGTTGCACACCTCTGAATTAAATGATTCAATCCCTTTCAAATGTCACAATTTTTACCCATTTAGTGACCAAGAAAATTTAAAAAAGAGAATGAAGTTATGGACAACGAGCCCTTATTTTATATTACGAACAACCAATAATATTAATAATAAATATCTATCGGTTGCGTTAGGTTTTACAACACTATGACTTTGGGGATATCCTACATAACGAATAGAATTTTTTCGAAGGTTTCTAAAACTCTACTTTTCATTTTTTTTTATTTGTTTTTGGTAATTCTGCATTTATACTGCATCATCCGTTTTAGTATTATTTAATCACAATTGAACAGTTATCCAACTGGAAAGAACAATACACTTTGTGAGCCTGTTATTTAACTCTGTTGTTCATGCTATATCCAGGTGGAATTGGGTATGATATTGGAGTGGCGGTCGTTGAAATATGCTTGGGAATCATTCTGGGTATGATTGCCGGATACCTTATGTGGTTCTTCCCTGATCCAAGACAGGTAAATAATAACTTTCTAATCAAAGCTGTAGAAAAACATGTTTAGTAACTCGATAACAAACAACGAATTTACGATAAAAATTGCTTATTATATGTTAATTACTAAGCAAAACAGTCTCTCGTTATTGAGTTATTCTACTTGCACCACCACCACTCGGGTTACATAGAATTTTACTAAATACCGTAGCAATTTGTAAAGTTAATTGGAGCATACTTCTATTAATTTAGATAATGCAAAATTGATTCAAAAATAAAACATCAAAACATTAATTATCACAAAATCATGTACGCTTTATATCATATTTATATCACAGCACAACATCGTCAGAGATCGAACGTTTTTATTGGTTTTCACGTCATGGTTTCTCATCTTTATGACAAATGTTGTCAACTTATCTGGCGCCGGGACTCTTGGTACATTGACATGCTCATTTGTAGGATCACTTGGATGGCCTTTGGAACAAGTGGTAATTCATTTGAAACTTCTAAATTTTAATCTTTTTGATTTCATTTGGCACTGTTGGTATCTTTACTTTTACTCAATTCGGATATATATTTCAGCATGCTGTGGCTAAAGTGTACAAGTCGGTTTGGTATTGGTTTTCACCACTTCTTTTTGGTTTGACTGGAGCAAATGTGGACGTCACTATTATGGATGGACATACAATTGGTAAGTAATATTTTTGAACAAACATATGATCTGCGTTCATTTATAATCGCTACACTATGACGTAGGCTGATATGTTGTTAAATTTCAAGTTTTTAATTTACAGGTTTGGCCGTTGGATGCATGTGTCTTTGTCTTGCTGTACGATTAACGGTGGCTGGATCAGCAGTGTCATTCCTGGGTTGGATGTATAGAGAAAAATTTATGACCGCAGTAACATGGATTCCAAAAGCAACAGTTCAAGTAATATCTCCATGTACATTTCAAGCCGCGCGCTGATGAATATTTTTACCATTTTAACTACCTTCAGCTGAAAAGCATATATTTTTATGATATAAAAACAGTTTTCAGTATAACCATGGATACATTCGACACTGTGATAATTGATAAGACATGTTATGTAATGCGATAGTCAGCTTGACTATTTTTTTCAGTAATTTACTGAATAAATATAAAATGGGGAAAATAATTTAACTTTGCTACACAAAATAACTTGTGTTGAAAGTTTTAAATAAATATATTTAGCATTTTCTGGATAACGTTATGCTTTTACAGGCTGCTATTGGCGGGGTAGCTCTTGATCATGCAAACGATTTATGCGCCGGAAGAACATGGCCTCCACTGTGCAACACAACTACGGGAACAACGGAAACGTATTGTAAGTAAAGCTCATATAAGCATCACCTTATTGACATTATGATTATAAATGAATTGAGTGTGTTACATTTGCGATTGAGGACAAGCGCAAGGCTCGTTAATATCATGCTGTTCACTCATCCTCAATTTATAACTCTCTATTGATTGATTTCAGACGGCAGTGGATTTAACTGGACAACTAGCGATGTTATGATAACGTCAACTGAAATAATGACGACGGGAGCAATGAATACTACATTCAATAATGAAACATACGGAACTACAATACCAAGTTGCGTGACTGAATATGATTACCCATCACCTCTATATTGTCAACAAATAACCGGTTATGGTACATTAGTGAGTATTTTATTATAATTATACAAAAACAACAGAAGTTACGTGAAACTTCAACAAATATTTCCAATTTTGTTTTTAGATTCTTCAAGTATCTGTCGTTGTTATTCTTATAACCGCACCAGTAGGAGTTTTTCTCATTGGAGTTTTCGGGCCCATTTTATTGAGAGTCGACGATCCAAATATAACTGGAAAGGTAAGTTTTGGAAACATTTTTTAAATTTTATCGAAAAAGGCCGTGAAAGTTCCTTGACACCTTTCATTAATAAAAAGATTTGTAAAAGCGAATTATGTCTGTATAATCAAAAACTAAGCAACATTATATTGATGAATGCTGCCTTTACAACCAACTAGAAACCGCCAGATGACAACAGTATTGAGCTTGGAGAAAGCGCGTCTGGATTTGAGGAGAAAATGAGAGATGATGTCTTTGACCCAGGCAAGTGAAATCTTATTTAGCTCGCGTACTTTCGATACTCCCTCAACACCGAAGAAAGAAAGACTACAGTACTAGACTAATATATATATATATCGTATTTTTGGAATCAATATTCAACTAGAACTAGGCTACATATTTTGTGCAGTATGTTATTGCGACGGATGCCTTCTAGTTGTATTATTTAGCAATTCGAGGTAGCCTATTCGAAATGAGTGTAATATGAATATAACATCGTGTTGCAATTCCTAGTATTTTATAGAGCAACCGATTGAGAAAATTTGAAATTATTAAAATTTCAATTTTATGTTTAGGACATGACAATCAAGTTTTTACAAAAGAATCGGATACAATGAAATATCCAACATATGCTAACGAGCCAGACAAGACAAGCACATCAACGAAGCTATGAAGTGCAGCTTGTATATGTTTGAAATTATTTAACTGCTGTATATTATGAGCGAAACAAATGGTGTCATATATGACCGCGTTTTCGCTGCGTGTAAGACTCCCCAAGAGAAAAATTAATTGTATAGTAAAGAAGCTGGGATTACTTTATATTTGAATTATATATATATTGCAGTATTCAACCTGTGTTAATAAGTATTAATCGTGTATTTTCATTGAATAACATTAATTAATGGTATCTCATTTTAGTACTGTTCGGTTTTAGTAAATTATAAGTTACAGTATTAGGTACATTGCCGATTGTTTTTGTTTTAATTGTGTGAATAAAATATAAATGTGTGGTTTCAAAATACTTCTGGCCGTGTATGATATTTAAGGATAAAGAATAAATGAAAGATTGCAATACATATACTTCTAGTTCACTGTTACAATTTTTATCGGGACAGCAAGATGAATATGGTTGGCTGTAAGGCTTCGCTCAATTTATTTGAAAGAGAAACCAAATTTATGGTCGATTTTTTTTCAGCCAGTGCAACTTGCAACAAAATTACGTATATGCAGTTTTGCTGAAGGTGAGGTAAGCCGCGGGATTGAAATTTACTAGCAACACTTATGGTTTTCTCATATATAATTCAGACGGTAGAGGAAAGGAGTTTTGGTTATGCGAATACTGTTATCAGACATTAAGTGGAAATATGACAACACTTTTTCACGGAGTTTTTTTTTATCTTCATGGAAAACTCGGTGCTCAGCTGGACAGAAAAAACCTTACCTTAACGATATCTCAGCGTGAAGTTGAGGAAATTGCATTTTTGTCATTGGAGTTGAAGAGTATGGGCTTTGGCGAATTTACCAACCAACCAATTGCCAATATTGAATTAGAAAGCTTTCAGCCCAGCAAATGCCTCGGCCGCTTCACCACGCCTAGGATGTTTCAAAAGATTTACTGAAACTTTTAAATCAACAACCATTTTCATATGCGACGGACCTGGACTAGCAATCGGAAGAGAGACTGGAGTTTTCAATATCATTGAAAGTCTTCAGTCTTCTATTAAAATCCAACAGCCGTTGTACAAGCCAAATTCACGCCAAGAATGCATGGTACTTAGTGATAACTGTAGATTTTGGCTTGGTATAACTGATAAAAACCCAAAGTTGACACGTTCTCAAATTGATAGATCGTGAAAGAGGTTTTCTTCGACAACGCAAACAGACATAGAATCATAAATATACAAGAGATAACGTAGTATTATGTAACTTCACAAACATATGATTGCATTCATATATATTTAATATAGCAACGACATGGCTTCGATAGAGTACATATGCTGTAACTGTGAGTATACTATAATTGGGAACTAACTAATACAAGAGGCATAACAGATTGCTCAATACGATTCGCACATAAAAAAGTTTTGAGAAATGATAAATAGATGCCAATATTAAATAAACTGAGGTTATATTAAATGGATAAACACAATCTGGAGTGATTGCTTTGGCTAAACAAATGTCTCGTTTGTTCGTTTGTAGTTTTGAATTCTGTCATATTGGTATTTTTGGACAATAAAATTTATAATAGAAGTGATTGCATTTTAGTACGAACCATACATGATTGATTGGTGATCACGAATCATTCATATTCTATACATGGTACAACATGAATTTCAATGACTGGTTATATAAATATCGAAGTGTTGACTTGATTCCCGCTGTTTTGTTGTAGTTCGGCTCTAGCTTGAAATAGTTGGCGCACGAGAGCAGCTTTTTCTTTTTGTAGTTGAACGACTTGGTCAGATTTATCCGAGACTTCCTGTTAAATAACAAAAGCAAATGTATATGAATCAGTAACAGAGGGCTCATTGGCACGATAAGGTACCATCCGATAAATAAGAGAGTAATATAATACAAACAACAGAGTAATTCTTAAATATATGGACATGAAGGTCGTGCGTCGGTATGGGTAAGACTTAAAAACGGAATTTGCAAAAAAAGCATCGACGGGAAAGTTATAAGGTTGCGAAAAAAACGCAATCCAAGGTGTTTTCCTTTGACTTGAATAAAACGGCAAAATTTTGAGTGAATTATATAAAGGTACTATAAAACTCGAAAAATCAAATTAATGTAAAATAACCCTCTAGCGACTTCCTCCACCTTCAAGTACTGGAAATTTAAATTTGATTGGCCCACTAGTTGCAGGGAAAATGTCCAAAAACCAACCACAACAACAAGAATAACAACAAAAAATTACAAAACGATCCATATGGAACCAAGTTAAACATGCGATGTTCTTAGGCATGCCAAACTACACCATTGTTCATTGAAACAAATTATCTTACCCTTGTTAAGAGTTGATTGTGGTCTCGCAGTGTTGTGATAGTCAAAGATTGTTCTTCGCTTTTTCCGTTGTTAACCTGCGCCAAATGTGTAGAACAGTATAATGAATTAGTAAGGCTTGGATTCCGGATGGTTTTAATTTAGAATTAGACGAATTCTCATGTTTGAAAATGCAAATACGAATATATCATTAATATTAACGTGCTTACCTCAATAGTAGCAGTGCTTGTAAATAGTGTTTGTAGCTGAGATACGGTATTCATCAAGGATCTCATCTGTTTTTCAGTTTCTGCAATGTTATCAAGACGATAATCTGCGGAACCAGGTTCTGGAATAAAATTGAATATGCTGCTTAAAACACATCTCATCATAGTCGATATAGGCGCATTCCTCAACTCTGTAATTTTTATTGGGAACGAAAGGTCATAAAGACGTCTTGTTCCACCTTTCGGCAATGATTTCCAATCTCATTTACAATACATGGTCCCGTTTCACAGTTTTGAAACCATATATACTACCATAGCACAAAGGGTATCAAACAATTGAACGTATATATTCAATCCCACTATTCGGAGTCAATGCAGCTCGTTCCCTTGAATTTCTCCATTAACGTTTCAAAATTCTTCCTCAGGAATTTTTTTCACCCAGTTAGAAAATATAATTGAAAGTGATCCTCGCTGCTAACAACAATACCTGTTTTACATATATCTTCGGATGATGTTGATCTTCCTACAGAAAGAGATCCTTTGTTTATTTTTAAATTGATTTGATTCTGTCTTCCATTGATGTTATTTAATCTTCTTTCAAACCATGATTTAGTCGAATCTATTGCCTGTAGTCCTTGAAGCAACAACTTCTTCTGGTCATCAAGCTGTTTCATATATTTGATCTGTAAAGAATACAAGATCTTAAAACTGGGTTCCGAGAAATTCATGCGTGATGCAAGAATGCATTTGGCGGAAAAAGACTTAGACCGAAAACAGACCTTTACGGCAAGTAGTACAACATTTTTGGTGTATGTATTATGTATCAGTTATCAGTCGTGTCAAAATTTTTTTTTTTCCACAGTCATTGTGTCAATGTGCCATATATCATGTCTAAACTCAAATATCAACCGTCCCAATTATCACATTATTTTTTGTTTTTAACGTTAATAGAAAACATACGTCGGAATAGGAAATCTGAATTCGTGATTATTACCAATATCGCAATCATTCAAAAAGGGTCGGTATGAAAATATTAAAGATTTCATGTAATTTCAGTCACTCATTGCATACCGTATTATAATCTATTCCTGTAGCAACTGTGTGTCGACGAATATTTCTTCTCTGTTGTATAGAAGCACTGTTTGCTCGGCGTCTTATCCCTGAAGCTGCCGAAGTAGAAACAGTAAATGGTGGTGTACTTTGTTCCTGATTTTGAGAACTTCTGGAATCTGAATCATTTGGTAAGAATTCTTTATAGTGGGTTTGACCTAACGTGCACTAGGACGAAGAAGTGTAATCAAATTATATTCATATGATAGTATAAATAACCTAAATTCTTTCAGAATGAAGTAGGTATCTTACCTGAAGGAGAAGTGAAAAGTGCTTTTGCCACATTCTCTATAGATCTAGGAGATGTTGCCGCCGACGAATCACCGTTTGAAGTTGATGACGACATAGATCCATGAAGATTTAATTTGGGAATTTCTGTGACTTCCGCTCGGCTTGAGCTCCTGTAAAAAATTGATATATTATTACTGAACAAGGTATTTTCAACATAAATTTTTACTGAAAATATTTCGTAAACCGGTTATAAATCAAGTCTGCCAATGAATACACGGTACCTTGAAGTCAGTCAACTTTAAAAATACGACAATACTCTATCTTCTACCGTAACGGTGAAAAGACCAAGTCGTCCATTTTAATCGCACAATCAATATTGTAAAAAAAACTAACCGTGCGTATTTAACAATGGGTATTTCGGGTGGAGAAGAACTATTGCATCGTCTTCCGTGTCCTTCATTGTTTGGCCGATTTTCGTTGATTTGGGTAATTTCATCTTCGCCAACCTTTCCACTGTTGCTCTCTATCGCTCTCTTGCGATCAAGCTGGTCACCAGAATGCAGTTTTCTGCACAAAAATGGAACATTAGTTTGGATTAGAAGACTAAAAGTTGTATATTTGAGCAAATTCTTACCCGGTTGCTGTGTATAATGAATGCGCATTTCTCGAAAATCGACTCGAAGCCGCTGATCTTCCCATTGTCGAAAACGAATTCATGGACGCAGAAATCACCATCGGTTTATTTTCAGAATTTTTTGAAGACCGTTGAAGACTCCCGTATTGTTGGTGTTGAGGAATACTGACGGAAGATTTGGTCCGTTTTAGTGTTCCTGTTATTCCTATATACTTTCCGGATAGCACCACCGGCTGCATATTCATCACAGAGGGGCCGTCAACCTCGTTTATGAAAAGAGTGCTGGCTGTTATTTGATCAAGGTTGCTTCTTGGAGTATTGTTACGACAATTTGACGAATCTCGATAATAGTTATCCGCTCGATTTTCTTTGTCTTTTGAATAGCAGTTATTTCCTTTTTCAAAATTCAATTTCCTAATTTCTTCGGCATTTTGTTTTGCGTTACATTGTTTGGAGGAATGATTCTGTCCACCGTTGTCCACCTTGATGTCGTCTTGAGTGGTGTATTGTGAAGATGTCGTATGGTGTTTTACGTTTGGTATTATCTGTCATAAATTAGATATTATGAAATGGATAAGATTTAAAAGTGAGACAATTGCGGCTCAACTCATGTAAGTCACAATTATAGTCGATTGTCTTTAACTATGTTTTCAATGCAGCTATTAATTTCACAGTTCCCTAGCGTTCACCTTGAAGCGCCAATTTGCTTGAACTAGCATAAAGAAGAATATATACTTGTTTTGCGATCTCATATAATTTTATCATTTCAGCTCAAGCTTTATGGTATGTTAAATCGCGATCCCATATAATTTTAGGATTTCAGCTCGGGTTTTATTTTATGTTGAATAAATCTCACAGAAATTAAATAATAGTTTAATAAATTCGCTGGAGTTCGAAGTCGGGCTTATACCATTATTTACAATTGTACGTCACTATATTGTCCATCCATTGGGTAGACATAATTTTTAGAAACGTCAGAACGACAATGATGGATTCGTGTGATTTGATCGACTCATCAAAAGCGTTAGAAGTAATACGTTAATTACCTTGCGTAGTCTAACGCCACAAGCTTTCCATTCAGATTCATTAATGAAGCCTATAGTTCTGTATGCGTAACGACATCTTAAGGGATGCCCCCAAATTGAAAAAAAAGAACAGCACATAATACGACCCAGCGATGGCTCTGTCAAGACCATATACTTGGCAGAGTGTCCTTTAGGTACTTGATAAACTTTCTAGTTAGTGGAAATCCATACCTTTGCGGTGAATATGGGTCCACTGTTTGATCGTCTGTGTCGAAATGGTCTATTTGATTTCGACGTAGATACTGTGGTATCCCGGCGTTTCAGGTTGACGGTATTATTCAGCTTTGTCTGGAACTGTTGGTTGCTTTGATGGTGCAAAGAAGGAAACACGGCCGCCACGTTTGAATATTTTTGAGTAGGTAATGGGTGATCGCACGAAAGGGCTAAAAAATTGAGAATAAGTATTAATAAACAAAAGCGGGAAACTGATTCAGGTTATATTAAATTGTAGCTCTGAGCCAGCTGATTCCATATTTCTACAGATACAACTTCTTTGAATTACCGTTAATTTCATCATGTACATGTCTCGCCTTTTTTCAACAATATACAATTACCAAAATGATACAAAGTAGCATTTAAAATTTAGTGACTATAATTACGTAGCACAAAGTTGAATAAATAAACAATTTCACGCCAATCTTAATCCTAATCGATATGCTCTGATTAAAATAGATATTATAACACAATATTAATCCGTAATTTTAATTGGCGTTTAATGGAAAATCGTCTTATGACGATAATAATCGGAAATCGTTTATTTTCTGAAATAATTGATCTCGGATGTTATTTGATTCATTCGGGTAATTTCAATATTTGAACAGGTGGAGAAATAAAATGTTGGACCCGATTGACCTCTATATGGATTAAACACAACTCGCAACATGTCGAATTTAAAGTACTAGGAAGCAATACCGCCTCTATCGCGTGGTAAAATATTGAAGCGTAAATTAACTTTTAACACAAATCAAAATTAATAGTAGCATTGTTTCGGATATTTCAAAATATATATTTCATTTAAAATGATTAATGTCGCATTTAAATAGAAAAATACTGTGATATATATATATATACATCTGTCTGATTAGATAAATTAGCAATAAGAATTATGGAACGATTCGTTGCGTAGAAAAGTTAGCTAAAAATTAAGTAAGCAAAAAGGCGTATATCCTAACTTACATTGCAATTTACCGTGACCACTCCATTTCGGCCGAGCGGCGTTCAAACTTTTCAGCGGAAGTACCTCGTTTCTTCTTGCTCTGGATAAGGCAAGGCGAAGTCCACAAACAAATGTGTCGAAAGTCAATAATTGTTCAGGCGGTGCAATATCTTTCAATGCAGAGAGCACTCCAGGTAGGTTCGGCACAGCGTCGTCTCTCCAACGGCGTTCGATTTCTGCCAAGGGTACGGCACCCGTATTGCTGTCATCCAGCATGTCAAATAGGGTTCGCATAGATTTGACGAATTGTTTTGGAAGGCCCTGAATGCTGTTTTTGTGATCTGGCATTGACTGGTTGCAACCTGACGACGAAGATGACCCATACGATTTTGATGAAGACATTGAAGAAGATGGCGAGATATTTTCTACCTCTGTCATGGTTCCACTCTAGACAATTGTTTTTATTCCCGATAACTACTTTAAATTACACTGAATCTGCGAAAAACAGCATTACAATACCATAAACCGATGCGGATAGGTAATTTTACATTAGTTACATATGCAGCAATCGCGCTTTTGCAATGTTGTCGGGGCTACCTTTGGAACCCGAGAATGTTACTTTATCGATATTGTATCCCGTCACCTACCCCGAGGTGCCATAAAATGCTTGTTCAATATTTATGGTTACCATATACGTTATACCTTTCGATCTATATAGCGACATCGTAAAATTTAACCCAGACCTGAACCTTTGTAGAATGTCAATACATAATCTCAAATGACGCTTCATGCCTACGGGCAAAGATGCGTTGCATCTTCAAATATTAAACTTGGACCAAAACATGTATATTGAGGACTGTGAAACACAAGCACAGAGAGCCTGATGTAATATCTTCTCCCTGACCCAAATATTTCTTATTCGGTGTGCCTGACTAAGCCTTCCCAAAATATGCAACATCTGCAGAAACAGTAAGAGAAAGGAATTCGTAACTGTTATTTCTTCAGCAAAACAGTGCCGGTATCAAATCTGACTAACTGCTTCTGTGTTACATAGACATTCACGGCCAATTTTCCGCTTAACGTTACTTTCTCCAAGCGTAACATTTTACGGAATTTTAAAACACGCGCGGTCAATGATTCGTCTGTCTTTCTATTATAAAATACCACAAAATATGCAACAACCGGCGGGCACGCACGCTTGACTGATCATATGGCAACTAAAATATGTTAATCCTTTTCGTCCGGTAATAGAAAGTATCGTGAATTTTAACATACAACATTGGAACTTACAAAATTGAAGTATAATCTACAGAAAACATTTGGGCGATACAAAAAGCAAATACTGGACCAATCAGAATAACTTAAAACACACTGTGGAAACAAAAGTGTTATACTTAGCTTGTGTCATTATTTAAAAATATAATTGCAGAAGAAAAACGTTTTTGGCGTCTGAAAAATCAATTTCAAAACTTCTGCCCCCTTTTATTTTCAATTCACATTACAATCCTTACATCATCTTTATTACAGTAACTGTTAAATATTTAGTACAAAATAACGAAGTTTCACAGCTAATTTTCTAATGCGTCAGTTAACGTTCACTTAATCTTCGATAAACTAAAGCATTATACCGAATTGTCAGCTCCACTCTACTGCTTCAGCTATCCACCAAAATAAAAAGTGTCGATTAACTGAGTTGATCCAATCGGTTTTTGTGGACACATCGGGTAAAGTGCGAGTATTAATACGTAAGAAAAACATCAATAGCTTAACAAAACTATCAAATAGCACGTGTCTAAATCGCGATTAAACTAAATTGAACTAACACCATGACTGTAAGACTAATCCAAAATCGATTTTTTGACAAAAAATTCGTAATTTATCTTCTATATCATTACAGCAGCTGATGGCCGAGATAATTCTATTCTTCAAAGATTTGTTCAGATCCTATTGTCACATTTAAATTCAGATTCAAGGTAATATATAACATTGGCCTAATTTCAAACATTTTTGAATAGATGATCAGCTGCGGCGACTTTCAGTAGTCTATGGCGCAAATATTGCCCATATCGTATATACATATATGCATGTTAACATACTCCTAACAGCTCCAGAACCATAATGCCAACATCTAAGCATTCAGAAGTATATAAAATGAGTCTTGCTCACCCTGTTATCGCAGTTTACAACCAACACTAAAAACGCTTTCAGCTCGCACCTTCGCCGCATTGCGAACAAACCGCTTGTTATCTCGTGGTCGGCAGCAGCATTATTCAAAACAAAAGGACGTGTTATTTTCAAAACACTAATTACAAACCACAACACGCATCATTAGTACACATGTTATCGTTTGATATGAACATTGAGGGTGATTAATGAAACACTTAACCTCGCTTTGATATATTGAGCGTGTTAAAATACATCGTCGAAAGCGCGAGTCGTGGGTCTGGAGGGCGTTTTGTGTTGATAACATTGAGGAAATTAATTTTATAAACACAATCGTCAAAATGATGAAGTATTATCATTGCAGTTGTTGGGAACAATACCAGGATTTCACTTTAATTAATAATTGTAAAGTTGCTTTTCGGTATTTTATGGCAATGAGACATACTAAAATTTTGTATATTAGTGAGTATGTGACACATGTCAATGAAGACGATTCTCACAAACATATTTCCATGGTACAACTGAATTTGAGCGCGAACGCAATGTTCATAGGCTGTCGAAAATGATTATTTGTACACAACCTGTGAGTGAGTCAAATCAAATGTTGAAGTAATTTGTAGGCGACTTCGGGATTTTTAGGTGACACATGTTTGGCTCAAATGTCCGCTTGGGTCAGAGAAATAATTCAATTGATTGGAGAAATCAGGACGAAAGATCATACGAAAATTTCGACTACGAAAACTCACCACGTATGTGCTGTTTCACATGATAATTTATCCCCAGACACCGACTACAGAATTCAAACTCATCAGGTTAAAACCACTCCGCTGCGGCAAAAATGAAAGTTTCCGATTTCAGAGCTTCGCACGGTTTCGCGATGGGAACCTTACGAGCGAAGCGAAATTATGCGATTTTGGAAAATTTGTTTGAGCAAATATTTTTGAAATCAGTGGTATAAAATTACCGGCTTTACCTAATTAATGCCTTTATTGTAAGTGCAAATATTTGTTTTTATACGTTTGGTCAAGACCATGGTATGTACTACAATGCATATTAATTGTTCAGCGATTTCGACCAGCTGTATTATTTTAAACATAAGTCATAAGTCACATAATTTCATGTGTATTCAATGAATAAAATAAATAGCCTATACAGAATAAATTAAATTGTTTCTGTTGCCATTCAATCGTCGCATACAGATCTAGGTAAACACGCCTCAATAGAAACATGATATTGGAAACAATGGGCAGAAGATTGACATAATACCATCTATGATTCCATTGTATTTGTAACTAATTTACCGTGGCACATGTTTGGTTTAGTATCAATAAATATCAAGGTACAGTCACGAAGTCATAATTTTGACGTTATGGCGACTGGTTAGGCTTCTGTGCGTCAACGTCAGTTTCCACTTCAGAGTAACTGCTCAAGTTGACGGAAACAACAAGAATAAAACTTTGTAACGAAAACGGAAAGGCCAGGATTTAGCAATAACGAAACTTTTCTATAAAGTTGACTATTAGATTTACGTTGGAGGTTTCAAATTATATTTACTATAAATAATACATTTCCTAGAAGATAGTAACATGAAGGACATTATCTCAACTGAGATTGAGTACATATATAAGGTAGGAGGTATAACGTAATTATAGGTTTATCGGGATGTCGCGTTAATTAAGGTAAGTAAAAAAATATTCGGTTGGAAATTATCTGAATGTAATTTGTCGAAAGTTCTTCTCCCTGGCAAGAAAATTTTGTACAATCCGATTGAATCACACATATACTCGAATTTTTTTTAAATTACTGAAGTTGTCAGTTCGCTACATTACGGTGTCATGCTGCGAATATTTATTCAAAATTACGTGATGCATCGCAGAATGCCACAACGTCTGTAGTAGAGCCCGGCAATCATGTTCTCAATTGAACATGGATCAATTGAAGCCGATGATCCAATCACCAAAATGTGAAATAGATTCAGGTGTAAACAGATCGTTTTAAAATTGTCACTCATTCCGACATTTTATCATTGTTGCCCGTAGTATAATACACCTGGTTCTTACAACGAATTTGGGACTGTCATTTTGATTAGAGGCAAGTTTTGATCTGTTTAGTATTTTAATTAACACGAAAAATCATTTTCTCATGTCTATACTTGCGTTCAAATTATTGCCGGTTTAGGGATTTATAACTTTAACGAATTTTCTTGCCTCCATAATATTGTAGAAAAAACACACAGAAACCAAGAGCAAGCTTACGAGTACTGGAGATGTTTGATAAAGGATAGTATTTTTGCAGCATATGGAGGGCACTACAGATTTCTTCAATCTTTCACAAACAAAAAAGTATTTTATTCAGTCTACTTGATTGATTAGTATACGAATATACTGTTGAGTCGAATTAGGAATTCATAAACATAAGTATTATCTCCACCTAAATTCATTTGGAGAATCCCCTGAAATTCAACGTATATATTTAATATTTTGCATATGTATTCAACGAAAACATTGATGACTTCTTCCATTGTCTGAATTTTACATTTAATGTTCAGTTCCATAATACATCCATAGACTAGAAAACTTATCGTACTCTCAAGTGAATAAATTATAGGAATAAAAAGAAATCAGATACAATAATGTCGATAGACAAAAGCTTCCGAAGTATGTCAGCAGATTCTGGAGATAGAAGACGATTTGTACCAGGATATGACTTTTCGTATCGATTCCAGAGTGCTAAACCGTTCTTAGAGTTGAAAGCACTATCCAGACCGCATACGACCCCAGACAGCAGCTCGGCACAAGTATACCGTACAGGTGAGTTCATGACTGTACATATATAATCGAATTAATGTCGTATCGTTCATATGAAACAAACTTTTATGAAATTTAGGTCGCCACCAACAGGCTTACGTGAATGCGATTGCATCGGCCCAAACTCCCTCAATCGAAGCCATCAAAAGATCGTTGGGCGATGGACTTCTCATGCTGCAACAAGGTAGCAAATATGTGAAGCCTACTATTTTCGCCAATCTTGACAAAATCCACCTAACGAAGGCAAAGGAAACTGTCAAAAGCCGGGAAGGAACTTCTCCAGCATTTTTTATTCCACGCCAACCTCCATTACCAACACGCTCGCCAACTCGAAAAAGGATGCAGACAATAACTTCGAAGATCAGGTTTATTTTTATTTAGAATTACCTGCATCTCAGCTGCAACTGAGTAATGAATGAATGACAAAGTAATATTTTATTCATATTATATTCACTTACTACTTACTTTAGCCTAGCTTTTTGTCAAACAAAAAACCTCATTGGCAGAAATACACTTTATATATACAAAGTCTGTTTAAAAGTGATATTTCCTAGGCTTACCATACGTCCTGTTTTAGGCAGGACAGTCCCACTTTTCAACGTCTTGTCCCGGCTGGTCAGCCAAAAGTCCCGCTTTGGCGTTCAGCCAGTCAGCATAAAACACGAAGATTACCAACTCGAGCATATCAGCATGTTCTCAATACTGTTGTAGTGTTGTTTCTATGTAGCGTACCGGTTGCTTACTTACTGAAGGCGTGGTTTTGTTTGTTTCGTTGTTTTTGCTACAATTTGTGGCTTGTAAGCCCCGTACGCCAAAAAGGTGCTCAAAAATTCCTTTCTATTTTTCGAACTGAAACCGATATTTAGACAGACAGCGCATGAACTCGCGATGACAATGGTTTTAGATGTAAGGCCTCTAATGTAAAATCGGTCTTCGGAGACGTCCCGCTTTGAGGTCCCAAAAATATGATAACCCTATATTTCCTACCTCTTTGAGGTTATTGAGCCAAAACAATTTCACTTTATTTATCTGTTATTTTGGGAAAGCCTAATTAAATCTAGATCAATATCAAATTTTGACAATAATAATGCTCCATAAGACCTTAAATCACAAGAATTTCAGCTGGACAAAGAACCGCTAAAAAAAGCAGAATATAGACGGCTAGATTATTCAATTTATTTACAGGGGTGGAAAAGAAAAATATAAAAATATTACTACTGATTTATCTACAATCAAAGATTGGACACCGGTTCTCGTTAGTTTTTGTTTTATATTATTCCGGAAATTTACAAATAACTTTCTGCAGGAGCCAATCTGCTGGATCAAGCACAACACAGTCTCGCGGTGTTCAAGTGAATCGAGGAGCGTCAACTACACCTGCTAACGCCACCAGAAGGCCAAGTACCGTTGGAGAAATGGTAGTTGAATTTCTGACCAACGTCGACAAAAAGGTGACTGCAAATAAAACAAAATTCGCGCATTAAATAAAAGAATGCATTTTTACATATGTGTTGACCCTGCTGTTTGTTGTATGTATGTATGTCAATGCTCAACTTCTATTATACGTTTATATAAAAAAAATTGTGCTCTCGTTCTCGTTACAGGACATAAGTCTTTGTGGATGGAATTTGATTCATCCAAACTAATTCCTGGTGAGATTATATATGCTCCAAGCTTCAAATTGAGTTATACTTTTTACGTTGCGTATATGCCACAGAGATGACGATTATTATCAAACTTATTAACTGATATTGATAATGAAAACAATGAAAGATTTTAGTTTAGTACCAACAGATATTCACGATGTCAAACGTTTTCATTTCGTTATTACAGTTTACCTAAGTTTGTAATTAAATAGTGAGTCTTGTCCATGCCATGAAGCCCTTAATAATTGTTTTTCAAGGAACAACAATCAACAAGAACTAAAGTATACCGGCCACGTTCAAACTCTTACTATTCAACAATAACGGAACTTGACGATAGGTGTTTAAGAAATTCGGATTTTCCGCAAATACAGATTGATGGAAGGTGAAGAAATTAACTCATTTTTCAGTTTAACATTACCAAAGTTAATATAGAACAAGGGTATATATAAATATAGCAACTGTTTTCAAATTCATTTCGATGCGTTTTCTCTTTCAACCATGCACGCCATAAGTTAAAACGAATGAATTCGGATATTTATTTCCGCCATGCATGAAATATTGCACAATTAAACAAATTAGCAATAAAAAAATCAATTGAAAGACGAGGTAATAGACGAGGAGCCTCGAAAGAATATAAAGTCATCGTGTTAGCGACACCGAAATCGGTGTATTTACGTCAAATAACTAGTACTACTTAAACACTTTTTTTATTTTGATGAACACAATTTGGAAAATGTAAATCGAATTGAGAGAGTCAATCAGGATCAGGGCCGGATTAACCATTAAGCAAAATAAGCACGTGCTTAGGGCGATAACCAACTTTGTTCGCTGCTGTACATCAAGTTGTGTAAAGCATTGGTTGGCAACCTTTTTTAAGTGACGGACCGGTAAAGCCTGACCAAAATTTTGGCGGACCACCTTTATAATGACAATATATTCAAACCAAAGGTGATGCTATTTATTGCGAAATCTGCATTTGTTTGCTGGCAATTAATTGTTCCCAATTTGGAGACATGGTCGACAGTGATACACATGGGCCGCGGCCCGATGGTTGCCGACCACTGGTGTAAAGGGACTGAAACCTACGGGCAAGGGGTATGTATATTCACTTGGCTAACACATACAGTCCCCGAACTCGTAATAGAACTAAAATATGGAAAATCTGAATAAAATTATTTCATAACCCTAACCTGGTACACACAACACACTACGGGAGTACCGAAATTTTCATAGTCAATTTTCAATTGCGCCTCAGTGTTTAACGGAATAATCAAAGTTGGTCTGACTACTCAAACCTCAATATTGCCAATCATCTTGGACCTCTATAAATGTTTGTAGGCATGGGAACTATTTCCAAAAAAATAGCATGCATATTAATCATAATTTGGCCTTCAAACAGTAATAAATCCTGAAACTGCATATTTAATTTTTATATAACATGGAACACTAGTTTCATTATTATACTGTATATTTTTATTATTTCTTCCTATACATAGGGTACCAAAGGGTGAAGTGCTCAGGGCCTTCAAACCTGTAAAAGGCACGATCCGGCCCTGGACAGGATACACTGAACCTATGAATTATATGAATAAGAACCTTCATTACCGTAGCGTCCACTATACAATTATGAATATTGATAAATTCATAACATTAAAGTGAGAACATAGAATAGAACTAGACAACTAATCGGTGTTTTAGTAAGAAGCTTAACACTGCTGTGCTTAGATTGACTGAGTGGGGTACGGCTATCGCACTGATATCGGTATTTTGGCATTTAGCCATTAGAAATATTGAACGTCAAGAAGTAACGGTACACAACCACAGTTCTAAATACTGGTATGTATGAAGAAACAAACATCGGATTTAGTGGCGAATGGCGCTTTTAACAGTACTGAAGTTACGGTGAAAGGCTAAGTAAAATATTTAATGACTGACCCTTTTTAACAGTAATGCTGTAATAAAGCGCCAGTCGTTCAACGTTTAAATGGAATTTCAACGTTACTTTATTGAAGTTACGGTGAAATACTACCTAAAATAATTAATAACCGATTTTTTTTTTAACAGTAACACTGTTAAAAAGCGCCAGTCGTTTATTGTTTAAATACCATTTCACCGTAACTTCAATACCATCAGTACTCGATTTCACTGAAGCTATTAGTTTGGGTTACAACGCGAGACTAACTCTATTATGCTGACGGATTTGTAGGCGTAAAATAATGCAAGGAGGCTGTGTAGTCAGTAGTGCCTCAGCGTTCAGTGAAATGATTGGTCTGATTGCTCAGGCGATTCATACCTCAATATTGAAATAAATTTCGCTTGTTTTTCTTTCTCAAGTATCACCCTAAATGTTAACAGGAATGTAAACAATTTTTTTAAAAATATGTAACTTAATAATAAATTGGCCTTCAATCAGTAATAAATACTGGAACTTACTTTTAATTTCAGATAACCTGTAACACTAGTTACATTCCTATTATTATATTTTACATATACGGCACCAAAGTCATGGGTGTTTAGGGCCTCTGAAGGCCACGATCGGGCACTGATCAGGAGCGAACAATTCAAATGGAATCGAGAGCGTTTTAGGGGGGGGGGGGGGGGAATGTTTAAATTGTCAATTTAGCTTTGCAGCGTCATGTTCGGGTGACCCCAATCACTCTAGTATGGCTGACCAACATGACGCTGCAAGGTGGTGATAAATGAAGGGGAACTCAGCAACCGCAATACGGCAATTAGTTTTGGAGTTGTGGATAAAAAAAATAAAGAGATTTAACTACGAAAGATTAAGTAAAAAGAAATCACAACAAGAACGTTTAGAGCAATAAGGCTTGCATAACAGACAATGAAAATATTTGATAACAGTCAAAGCGAATAATATGATAAAAAAGGGAAAATAGAATATAAACATTTTTCCCTTCAAGTCGGATTTTGGTATATGCAACACTGATAGCAGTGGTTGTGCGTATACTAAAGACAAACAACTACTATTAAAAGGCTTTTTATGCCAGTTTGTGATCTAAGGATAATTTATTCAAAGTGTCATCATTATACGTAATGATTGGCACCACTCATACATGAATCTTTCAACGCAAATTATATCGCTTTTCGGCATATTGAAGTATGATATTTTCAAGACTTGAAATATTACAGCGTAATTTTATCGTGTCATTCATTTCGTATTTATGCTACAATTCATCTTTAGATAAAAATATATTGTATTTCCATGAATGACAGGACATTAAGTCAGACGATGAGAACAGGCACGGGATTTATGCCTCGAGAGCATTGTGATGTACTTGGACCCCTGACCTGTCCAGACTGTATTCGAACAAGATCTCAAAATTCACATCAGAGAATGTGCAGGTTTGTGTTGAATATCTTATGTTTTAAGAAAAGTATGAAAATAGTTTCTGTAGGAACACAAAAAAAAATTGTATATTCATCCACCTTGAAGCACACTATGCTCATGATGACAGTTGACATCAATTCTTCCGTACTAAAAGCATTTTTAGAAGTATGCCCGGAGTCAAAAATAAAAATAACGAACATCAGACATTTTTGGAAACTGTACTGAACTATGACAAAGTAACGTAAGCGAGACTGTTTGCAAATTATCTATACGCAGGTTGAAACTAACTCTGTTAATTTAGAAGGCCACATTTCATTTTTGTACTAACAACTTTCAATTAGACATTGTAACAGTTCCCATTACTCGTATGACGATCAAAGGCTTCAAAGCGTATAAGTGTCACATTGCGAATGCAGAATCAGTATTAATTTTAATCGACTCGAAAAACATACATTTCTGTTTGTGGTTTGAATCATTTCTCAGATCATGTGTTCTGGCAGTTTGCTGCCTATTTTAGTTTTGATGCTGCTAATAAGTATGAACTATTCATTTTTTTAGTACATCAGTAGCCGCGAACGCCACTGATGTCTACAAACTGGCGCTGATACACGAACGAATTCCACATCTTGGTATGCGCGAAGTTCAGAGAAAAGTATTTGATGGAGAAATTTCTGACAAAGTAAATTCAATCTCACGCTGGAAAGAGATGCAACAATACGCTCAACCTAAATATGCTGAGAAAGAAGAGAGTACCATCGGTAAGTATTTTTGATGGTACGATAAAAGGGAAATGACAACTGACTGCTTGAAGGTTAAAATTGTACTATGTTATGACGGCAGTTCCACAATCAATCTTTGACAAAATATGTTTGATCTGTAATCTAATCCGACACGGATAGCGGCACTCTTTCCATAACTTTCATCCTAATAGCCAGATTTCGCTTGATACATCGACCAAAAACACCAATATGCACAAGATTTAAATCACCCCAAAAATATATTTTCAGTGGAAACTATTGAAGAAACCGTAGAAGATAAAACGAGAGATCAGCCTGAAAAATCAAGACCAAAGTTAAGGTCCAGAGGATCTCTTGGTTCCGTGGTATTTGAAACGATAGCAGAAGCTTCAGAATCACCGGAAATTGGTCAGAGTGGGGAGACTGGAGAAGTCATAGATCAAGCACTGCCCATTTCAAACCAAAAATCAGTTTCTAAAGAAGATGATCAAGTTGATATACAAAATAAAACGATGGATAATGAAATTGATACCAAGACAAAGGAAATCGTAGACAATGTCGATGAGGTCACTTCAGAACGTCCACAGCGCACGTCATCAGGAAGGAGTCGTCGTCGTTCAAAAAATCGGAAAAAATCCCCAAAGCGACATACCCGTATTTTTAATCGCGGCCTTATTCCTTCGCCTAACTATTTTTATAACGTGGGTGACCTAATGGGAAGAGTCCAAAAACTTCGACGAACCGGAAAACGAAATCCTTGGGAGGTTGATATCGATATTCCCATGCCTCTTGTACATCAAAATGAAGAGGGAGGGGCAAAGCCAGATGCAAACAAAGATGACGCTGCATCCATCAGCTCACAGGATTCTGTCAGTCCACGTAAGGCAGATCCGATGACAAAAGTGGAGCCACCGATCATGTACGAGAAGAAATCTCGATACCTCGGTTTATCACATCCAACTATTGGTAATATTCCAACTAGAGCGTAGAAGATTTGAGAAATCATGTAAACAGTTTGTCAAAATGTCGTTTTTCTGTATGGTGACCATACATGACAATTTTGTAATACCGTATATTTCAATGTTGTGACGATGAACAATATGAAAAAGCTAACCAGTATTCCACAACAGTGTTTTAGTGAGATATTTTCTATGTATCAGTGTTCCACAATTTTTAAAAAACTTATAAGCCAACGGTAACCAAGAATTTGTTAAGACTTGGGGCCAATTATAAGCGGACTTCAACAGTTCGTTTGGGTTGAAACACCTGTAATGGCGCATACTCATTTATGAAGATATTTCTACAGTAAACTTTCCAGTTTTCTTTGTATGTAATTCAATGATTAATAGAAATTAATAAGTTTTACTGACGTATTTATAAGGGACAAAAGGTATATTTTCAACTACTTTTCGATTTTATTGGGTTTACCTATTGTAAGACCAAGACCGCACACTCGCGATTATTATTCAAAATATAAAAATGCATATCATCTTTATAAGTTTCTATTTAAGCTAACACTTTCGGAAAATGCTTTCATCGAATCGATGACAAGAACAATCACCAAAAATAACGCAAATTGAATCGAGCACGAAACCGCCATCATGCGAATATGTTCAATGGTTTCTGCAATTTTATCAGTCTCTGGTAGCAAAGTGAGTTCAAATGTATGACGTTCTTGACGCCATACTACACAAGCTAGGAAGATCCGGCGCTGATCCCGAAAGTTTATATGATTAATTTGAAGACCATTTGTTCGTGTAATGTAGTATTCTTTCGCAGGTCCATATCCAAAGCTGGAAAATATAAATAAACTGAAATAAACCTACCAAACATTATGTTGCGCAAATATTCAACCTAGATTTAAAATACTGCTGACAAAACAGAAATAAACTTCTCTTAATTACTGTATATACTGGCTTTATACATGAAAAGATGAAGAACTATCGGATTCGAATCAGCTCTCGTCGAATTTTCATACATAAAGTAGCTTTTTACATATGTAGTGCATTATCTTGCAACAAAATCTCAGCCACCCGTGATCATTCTCACTGAGCCGAAGGTTATCTGAACAACAATTATGGGAAAACTAAGGAAGGGAAAATTAATTAATCTAATTAAAATCGAGTTTTTAAAATCTATGAAAAATACACAGAAAAAACTGAAGCAGACCCAAAGTTAAAATTAGTTAGTAAGCCTACTTTTTTTTGACCAATGTAGTATATTTATACGTGCCAGAATGATGTTTGCTCAAAATATGATGCGTGAGTAAAACTATGTTAATAAAAATGTTACTGAGCGCCTAAGATTACTCCAGTAATACCACATTATAATCGAGAAAAAAAGATGAAGAGTAACACTCACCTGTAATCTTTTCTGAGTATAGTGCTGAATTGAAGTTCCCATTTAATGGATGTTCTCATTGTTATATTTCCTGGACAGCGTAGTTCCAAACTATCCGTGTTTTCGACAAGGAGAGAAAGTCTAGACATCGGCTTAAATATGTCGTCATCTTCGTCACACTCGTCGTAACACGTTTCTACTAAAATTTCATTTCTTTTTCGTTCAGCTAATTCCCGCATGGGCGTCTTAATGTTGCCGGAATCGATGCAATGTATCAGTCTTGTTCTCGTCTTTACGTAACAAAATCCGAACCTTCGACGTTCCCCAGTACCGGCACATCCATCGCATGGCATCCACTCGTCCCATTTGAGAATTGCTCGCGTCCGACCTAATTCTATATATCGAGTCGGTGTCATTCCTCTTTCTGATAACGTCCATAGAAACAGTTTTGGGTCGTGTACTGCAACTTTAAGCACGTATTGGTTAGTTGCATTGTTAGTAACACAACCGTACACCCCAGAATCTGTTGTTTTTAGTTCTACTATTCTCCAAATATGATGGTCAAATTTGCGAAAAAGTGTTATTCTGTGATCCGTCGCATCCGACAGGATTTTCATAACAGGCACACGGCCGTAGCTTTCAAATTTGAATTCCGCGATCAATTTAAGGTGACATGTGTAATATAACTCTTCGCCAACAATTCTATCCAGAAGTTTTATCTGTGTGTCTTCACCAATAGGAATCCAGGGTGGAGGCTCTTTTTCAAACTTACTATTCATAAATGTTTTTGAAACGGGAATAAGAGCAGCAACGTTTACTAATAAAATAATTCGCATTGACATAATGCTGAAAAGGTTTTATATAACGATAATGAAATTACGGTAATAGAATAGCAAGAGGAATTCAGCAAAAACTTATTGAATGGGAGCAATTACTAAAACTATATAGGTAATACGCAAAGTAAAATGTCGGACTTTAGTGAGCTCTCAATTTCCTCGCCTATTTTGGGACTCTTTGTTCCTCCCTCACTATGGATAAAATCTACTTTATTTGTTGGTGACTAAATATGTTAATGTATATCCATTGAATGATATATAATATCTTTCAAATTGAGGGAATCGATAGAGGAAAATTTCTAATTCGAATGGTGAGTTTCACAACATTTCAATTATGGATCAAATTTAAACGAAAGCCAGGAACGTCAGGGTTTAGAAAATTAGCAAGGACCAAATGCTATTACTCGTTATAGTTTAATCCGAGGCCTGATATCAACTTTTTTGTCATGGCATTTTCTACAAATACATTTATGTTATGTATAGAAACATATATACATTATACTACAACCCAATTAAGTACTCACCCGTAGTTGTCTTGGACCAATCTGCCAATTTTCGGATATTGGTATTCTCTTGGTCGCCAAAGGAAAGTGAGTATATACTTATGATCTAGTATAATTTCTTTTAATTTGAGAATGTAGGGCGCGGACGGACGTATTGCTACTGGTACAGGACTCTGCCGCCATATTGAACCACTACATTTTGAAAATCCTGGATTACGCACTGGTTTCGACTGTGTCCTTGAATAAACTTGATACCCTGTTACAATCATGGTATCGACCAACTCGGGACTTCTTAAAATACAGAAAACCCGAGCCGGCCTATTGGAATACAGACTCGGGAGTTTGCTTGTCTCCCTCACTATCCCTCAGTGCTTTGTTCTTTATGACGTCATAAAAATTCAAGCGTGAATATTATTTATATGGGTTGCCAGATTCACCTATTTTAGACATTTAGATTTTAGAGCATCGACTTCCTTGTTAGTAGCCACTCTTACACTTCACATATTCAGATAGATTTCCAGGTATTTTATTTTATCCAGACTTATTTTTTAAGTACAGAATATTTTGAAGTCGATTGGTCCATTAGTAGCGGAGAACTGTAAATTTTACAAAGCATAGCAATTCAGCAAAACTACCCATATACCATTCGTTTATTACTCCAGACCGCTGCGGTCCATATAAAAATAACACAAACAAATAAAACATAAGCAAAAACAACACAATAAATGCATAAAATACCTGATACGACAATCAGATTCACAGTAGATCTCAAAAAAGAGTTAATACAGTAATCTAAGAGGCCAAAAGTGAATTATAGAATCCAAGATAGCCCGTCATACACACTTCTTGTCCAATAAAGTAGCAATATCCTAAGTGCGACAACTGCGTGTATCCCGCCATACATTGACTAAATTGTTTGTTATTCTCTCACGAAGATCTAATGAAAGTAGCAGTAGATTATTTTTTCACGCGTAGATTTTTATGGTTATCGCAGTCACAACGCCGTTTGGTTTTCATCTATAGCCCACAATCCCTACATTGTTGAATTTGATAATTGGACACGAAATAGTCCTATGAATTTTGTGAAAAAATCGCTTTTCTTATCAACTACTGGACCAATTGCTTTAAAATTTTTAGGGGTTAAATATTGTATTTTTTCCTAGAAGGCCATTTTACTTTATTCATTTCAAAAATGTCTGTGGCCTCTATGAAATTCATTTTTTTGTGCGATGACGTCATTATTATGCTTTCGTCTAGGTTCAAATCTGCTGCTCAGCTGCGACACGGTACTCTACGCGTCTACGGTGACAGATTGAGTACCTGTACTATTTCGTGTCAATATATTGGAGAATCGCTCTCTTATTTAATAATCGGATAACCAAAGTGTCATCTCGCCATGGTATACTATTGGAAAAATATATATTGGAAATTGGATAATATTAGATTAAGTAATCGAGAAATGCTCCAGCTTTCCATTTCACTGGGATGAGAGTTTTATCCAAATATATATATATATATTATGGTGATAATGATTTTGCATCATCGATCTTTTAGGTTTGCCCAGTTTCAAAAACGTTTTGTAGCTACTAATGTACCAAACCCCAAATTCGAATAAGCCATGCGGTATTTGTATCTCCCGTTTAAGTTTAGAAATGATAGTTCATTTTTAAGGGTGACGTAGTATAGAATTTCAATTTTTTTTTTGATTAGGGGTTAAATACCAAGAAATGCTGAAACTCCGAGCTTGATATCAAAAAGATACTGCTAAAAGCAAGCGTGAACCAGCTGAGAGTTTCAAACTACAACTAGTATCTGGGAAATTCTTTGGTGTAAAAAACAAATAATGTTCTTAGTACGTATAGCAGAGGTGAGCAATATTTTTTGATATAAGAGCCGCATGCAGCAAGTCAGAAATACGTGAGAGCCGCATAATTTTTAAAATTATTAATATTAGAGCTCATTAAATCATTTTGCATTGTAACTGTTACATTGATACTAATTTGGGAGACGCGAAACTGGCGTTTCGGCTGTTGACTGCGACATGTTTTTTTTTTATGAAATACAGTCCGAGTATTTTCACGATCAATATATATTCCATAATAGAACAAAACTAGCCTCAGTTGATGCATCGGATTCCTTGTCAAATGATATCATAAATTTCTGCTTTCTTTTTAGCATTAATTTAAAGTCAGTCAATCTGCGTTTCCTTACAGCTGATTTACGAGGGTAGTCTCGTACGAGGTTTCCATGACTTGTTTCATGGTACTGTTCAACCTTGCTGACTCTATTCTGAGAAGCTTATGAAAGATTAAGCACAAAGTTTTTTTTTCTTGACTAGTAAATGCGTATTCTTCTTCCCATTTTGACTTGAAAACACTGTTTTCATCTTCGTATTTTTGCTTCTTACTTGACATATCGCAAAAGAGACTAACTGCAATCAAATCGCAATACCGCCAACTCAGCAACATACATTTGACCATTGTGATGTAAGATTTGTCGCTTGACTAATTCAAAGTTCAACGCCACAACAATTTTCATACCAAAACATAATTTGTCTCAATCATTGATGAAAGCTTCTTCCATCGCTTAATAAATTAAAAAGAGTACTGTTACACTACAGTTTCTTTAATTTAAATTTGGATAATAATTAATGGTAGCGAGAAGAGCTACATGCGGATCGCTAGTCGCGGTTTGCCTACCGTTGACGTAGAGCGGGGGTCGGCAATCTTTCGTCGCTCGCGGGTCAAAATAAGGGTTGCAAGTCATTGGCGGGTCGCACATATTTTTAAAAAGTTGAAAACCGAACGGATTGTACTTTTTATAAACAAAATCAAGCAGTGATACATCTCTCGAATAGAATATAGATTTATTTCCTCATTGCATTGCATTTTCGGCGCCATTGAACTCTTTGTATTTAGCATCAACTTTTCTGCGTTTTGTTGCCATTTGTCTAATTATAATTAAACTATATAGGCTCATTAAACGAGTAATTGTGAATTTTATACTTGTTAGATTATAATATAATTTAGTCTACACGCGTCTCATAGTGAATTGTGTAACGTGAAAAATATCATCGTCAAAACAGCTGTTTTGTTACTATAATTCAGAGAAACGTCGCGGGCCGGATTATGTTACTCCGCGGGTTGCCGACCCCTGACGTAGAGCAACACTGATCTCAAATTTTGACAGACGAGATGACAACATAAATTGTTGACTTTTTTCGAATTTAGCAGGTAATTACAGTCTACGATAGACCTTACTTAGCTCAGTGAAGATGCGACCAGATCTGAATGGTCGTACGAGTTCCTAGACCGGTTCACGATTTTTAAGACGTTCATATAGCGTACTTTGTTTTTGTAAAACAGTTTTTGTCCAACAGTTAACAAAATGTGGCGGTACTATCAAAGCGCCAAATGGCTCTCAAAACACTATTTTGTCAAATGGCTCAAGCAGTTTTGTATGATTTCTGTCGCAGGTCAAATCGTTCCGTGAACGAAAATCTTCAATACCAAAATGCGCTGGTGGAATTCGCACAATATACTAACGACGATGTCGAGAATATCCGCATTACAGAAAACTTTGTCGACAAGAAATTCTAGAATTGATTACGCCCTCACCTCTATTAAAACAAGAACATAATATGTATAAATTATTGAACAAAATAAATATATTAAATAAAATAACCTTCGGTTCTTGATTTGGCTGATTTAACGAAATATTGGAAAATTTTAAGTTTTAGCCGAATACGAATGCATCACTTTGCCTCCTGTAAAGGGTCGGTGAAATAAATAAAATAGTATGTTAGTACCTTATCAAAAGGTCGCACCATATAACTTATGGAATGCAACATGGTCGCAATTAAGGCAATCGTGCTTGTTGATTATGATAGAAATGTACTAACTTTTAAGACAAATCAAAAATAAAGTAATTTGCGAAATAAGACTTTCACTAATATTCAGGTAAAGGAACATAACAAATAAAAATATTTAAATAAAAATATCGAATTAAATAAATATCTAAATATTATTAATGATGTGCACATCTATTTTGGATTAGGTATATGTTTTAAGATAAAGAGCATTTTCAGATTTGTGTTTTAATTTGTATTGCATTCGGCTATAGGTTACCAAAAGAATGGCAAATAAGTTAAGGCCGTGTTGAAATTTACGATCACATCACATCAGCTGAGTAATCCTGAGCCCAATATGCTTGCCTATTATTATATCGTTGCATGTAATATTGATCTGATAGAAAACTCGTCATATTTGGAGGGTAGTAACCCCTCGTGCTTCGACTCATCATACCACCATGCATCGGATGAGGAAATGGGTAAGAGTGATAATCGTTTCGTGAAGTAATTTGGGTCGAAATACGTGAGAAATTTGCATTGTGATTAGGACCAAAATGTTGTCGACGCTGTAGTTGATTATTTCGTTTTTTCATGTTGGGACGTGTCTTTGAAACAGCCTTCGCCTTAGTTGTAGAATCACGCGATGGTTCAAGTGATGAAGACTCCGGAGCTTTAATTGGCGACGGTGGTACTTTTGGTTGCTCTGAAATACATAAATGTGAGTCTTTTTGCGGATCATCATTCACTTGAGAACACCCAGGCTCTGAAATACATGAATGAGAGTCGTTTTGCGGATCAGCGGTCACTTGAGAACATCCAGGCTCTGAATTACATAAATGTGAGTCGCATTGCGGATCATCAGTCCCTTGAGAATCTCCAGGCGAGTCTGGAATTACAATAGTTGGGATGTCTACAGAATCCAATGTCTCTTGTGAAGCAGGTGGCTCCGTTGTTTTATCAGTCAATTTCTGAGGACTATTTATCAAAGATTCTTTGAGTGTGGAAGTCTTTGGGTAAACCTTCTGCGCACCTATCGCAGGAGAAGAGGGATGAGGTTGCGCCTGTTCTGTTATAGGATCTCCGACTGTTTTCGAGGTAGATTCCTGCTTGTCTGTCATCGGTGGGGTATCAGGTGTCGGAAGCAAAGGTTTTGAGGTAGTCGCGCCGTCCAGGGGGCTGGGCGATCTAGGAGTTGATACAGCCGCTTTGGGATGACAATAAGGTTTAGGACGAAATGCATCTGGAACTTTTGTTCTGTGACTGTCCAATGTTATTCCATCAACATCTATTCGTTTTGGTTTAGACCTAGAAGTTGGCGATCTACTTCTGTGGGAAGTATACGGTCTTGGAGATTTTGAGCTGCGCCTGCTGTAAAATGGCGGCTGCGAATATCGCGGTTTTTGCCCTGAAGCACGACTGTTTTTTTCGGACCGAAAAATGTTACTACTCGAATGATGAGCAGTCTTTGGTCTTTCGGGACGATTTTCTTCGCGGCGTGTTGGAGGTGTTCTACATCGCCTTGGTGATCTAACAAAGTTTTCGTTGTGTCGGACGGATTCCCTGGTTTCTGCAAAACGTCTTCGTTTTGTCGATCTCCCGGTCGAGTCGTCTCGACAGTCACGCACGTTTGGGCAGGCTACTCCGGTAGGAATATCAATGCGACGCTTCATTGTATTTTCTTTCCCTGTTTTGGCAGGACTTTTATATTTTTCAATCACACTGTTTTTCCGTTCGCGATCATTGCTAGGACTCCTGCTTTTAGCGCGACAACTCCGACTAAACGTCAAGTGCCAAAATGAATGGTCTTCAAAAATGGCTGCCATGACAATTTTATCTTGGGCCATGACATGAGATGGACTTTCAGTGGCAAATTTCTTGTTGAGTTGCAAAATATGATCGGCATACTTTTCTGTTAATGTTACTAGTCCTGACATGCTGGAAGCCTTAAGCCTTCCTACATCATCGGAAACAGATTTCATCAAATTCTGTAAGTGAACAACAATTATGGGACAATGCAAAATGACAAGTAACTTGCTAGCATTAAAATAGCGACGATAAAATTAAAAACGTACAGCCGTTTAAGAAGATTGTGTTAGACGCGATCAAATATATAAAGAATAAAACAGGAAAATCGTATAGAGCTTAAAGTGCGCTTAAACGATATTGCCGTATTTGAGGAACAAAGAAACGATTGAATGATTGTTAAAATAAACTGAAAACTTATAACTACTTTTAAGGCATTCAGTAATATATTTACTATTCATGTAAATAGAAATAAATAAAAATTCAAATATATTACAAAGTATTAACCTTCAATCTCTCCAAATGAGAACCGAGATAATCCATTTGTTCCTGGAATTCAGCGAAGCCAGATTTCCTAGGCGAAGTCTTCATATTATCGTCAGTGGCCTCTGATGATTCTCGTCTCATCTTTATATAGCTTTCATATGATATTTTGTTCGTTTTTGAAGTATTATGCGTGAAATGCTCAGGCCCGGAGGTTGCGGTAGAAGTTCTTCGAACTGGCAACACAATACTCGAACGTTTAACAGGTGCTGTGTTGACGCCTATCTCTTTTACTGTTGGAATTGATGCAGGCATGGTTGCAGAGTCACTAGTCCTAGCTACAGCGTTACACGAGACATCTTTCACTTTTCTTTTCGTCTGTGTCTTTGCTTCTCTGGTTCTCATTTTTATTGGATCATTGCCAGCGTTCTTTTTCCCCACATAAGTGGTCTGTGTGTAACAGTGTACTCCTGATTTTTTGGTCATATAATTCATTTCCTTCACAGAGTCGAAAAAATCTTCCATTTTCATCATTTCAATGGTCCCACGCGGCGACGGGTTTGGGGGAATGAGCATTATATAAGTTGAATCTAACATTTTCTAATATATTAGTTGCTTTTACCTAAATGCGATAAGAAAAGAAATTGAGGTATACCTAACAAGCCTTTGACAAAACAACTATCTTTCTCAGCTACTAAAAATAGAATTTTCAAGGGTGGTACTCGTGGCTTTATTGCATAAGTCTAGGCTAATAATTTCTAATTATCATATTGACATCTTTTATGCATGACCGTTCATGGTACAGAGGTATAGAATAGAGTAGCGCGGTTCCCAGTCGCAGGCCCGTGGACCACATAGCAGTTGGAAGGTTTAACGGATATCCGTGTAGGGGAAATCGGGATCAGGGGATGAGGCAAAGCGGGGTGAAAAATTTTGATAATTTAAAAAAAGTCCAGAAACGATCAAAAAATTACACTGCGTTCCACAATAAGCATTGGGGGTCTACTATTGTAAAAGTTTGATAAATGAGAACATTTTGCGCATCTGTCCTGAAACCACGCCAACGGGAACATAATCTTCAGAAGCAGATAACGTGAAAAGAAAATCAAAAAACCGTCGGGATAGAGTATTTATTTTGAACAAGTTTATTAAACAGCAAGAGGACTCGCTTATTTTTGAGCCAAGATTGGGTATTGACGGGTTAAAAGTTCGTGATATTCCAACTTTATCGCCATTTGTAGCAAATCAGCGTTAATCAACAAATCCCAATCTCTGAACGGCACCCCAGTTTGTTCCCCAGCATTTCAATATTGGAGGGGTGTTTCCAAATTTTGAGGAAAACTTAAGACCTATTTGACTGCTCATTGAATTATGTTCAACTACTGGGTGTAGCGAAGAACAATGAAAATATGATAGACGAGAGGTAATAATATTATAATTGAAAAATATATATACAGAAGACTCGCGTGCCTAAAGTACTTCTAGTGGGCATAATTTTTTTTGCATATGTTAATCCTAACTCCCACCTGACTGCGTCACCCAATAATTACTGTCACTACGACGTCACAGTCATGCATTAGAGCTCTTCAAATTGTCATCCAAATCGCGCAGACGATTACCCGAAATCGAGCAAGCTATTTCTCTCGTTTTCTCATCGCAACGTCAAGTATGTCATCGGCGCAGATGCCATCTCGGGCGATCGTAGCTATACTTTGGCAAGCGCTATGACGTTTTGTGACAGTGGCGTAATAAGGCCCACCGAAGTATGCGGATGCTCGTCCAAAACGCACAGACGATCACCCGAAATCGAGCAAGCAATCTCTCTCGTTTTCCCGTCACAACGATCACTATAGGAGAGAGATCGCCGGCTTTAGCAAGTTCGTTATCGGCGGCGCAGATGTCATTTCGGGCGATCGTAATTATACTTTGGCAATCCCTATGACGTGATGGTGACGTCGTAATGACGTAATTTTTGGATGGCATAGTCAGGTGGGGGTTAGGAATAGCATATGCAAAATTCGTTATGCTACGCCCACCGGAAGTACTTGTGGTACTAAACTATAGTAGACCCTGGATCCCTATGCGTATACTGCAAGGATGCTGTAGCTGGAATAAACAAAACTATTCTATTCAATTAAAGAGTCCAGCTGTACACTAACACAAATGTATTTCTGTAATGTTTCGTCAGACTTCCTCAAACAAGCAGTTTACAACACCCACACTTCCACAGACAACACCTGTTTTACACTGCTTGTCTAAGAAAGTCTGACTTTGGTCGGACGAAACGCTACAGAAACACATTTGTGTCAGTGTGCAGCTGGACTCTTTTAATTGGATAGAACATTCAACTGTTGCGAGAAATACAACAGCATTCATCTCATCATACCGGGACTGAAATCAAATTCACTAGGCTGGTCTGATCAAATCACCTAATAGATCTCCAGTTGCAAGATACTGCAAGTTAAAACAATACACATATTGCTTTACGAAATTCCCTAAAGATTCTGAGGAAATGAATACATTAAAGAAACCAACAAACGGCATACCAAGGATAAATTAGTCGCTTTCCTGGATAGCATGCGAGCAGGGCCAGTGCACTAAATTGGGAAATCTCACATCAAGGTAATGGGTAGAGCATTTCACATTCTGTCGTCATAATGGTCATTATTGACCAACAAATAGTATAAAAATGTAACCATGAGATGTCTTATTACATTTATTCAGTGGTAGTGTGAGACAAGACTCCTGAGTCACGTAAAATAATTGATTGACATTTTTCAAAATTCCACATTCGCAAAAAATAATTGAAATTCGTGATAAGATTCGACTTACCAGTTCGAAGTCTGTCGCTGTGAGAAATACGACACAATCACAGCGCCAATTACGGTAGACAGAAGAAGGAATACCAGACAACTGACGCCCGAATGCAACAATAACAGACGCGTTCCGGCGTTAGTGCCAGCAATACCGCGCAGTGGAAATGCGATGTCTGCAGCTAATCACTCGGTTGTTGGGGAAAAAATGAGGTTGATTATTGGCAACCATGTGCGCCGAATTATCGTCTGCACGACGGAGTGTATTTTCGCTTAACCTGTTCTGTCGCAGTTGTAGCCTACTGCATCACCATTTTCGAAATGCAGCGTTGATGGAGCGTCGACGCTTGCCAATTTCACAATAAGCCTACAGCGTCACGTCGACCTGCAGTGCGAGACAAGATTGCAGTTATTTGGGTGAACGACTTCCTGATGTGACGCTGACAGAATTTATGCAAACCACCAAGTGCGTAAATGTCATATTCTGCATGCCATTTTCGTTTTTATTGCATGAACGCATATTACTTAATCACGATGACATTTTCCGAGGTGTAGTATTTCTGGGAAATATACATTATTGCTCATAAATCCCAAGGTATGTGTTCTGGACGTGTATAATTGAATATAAATTAGCCTCGTCGGTTTTTCGGCCGTGAGAACCATAACGCTTTTAACGGGAAATAACCCAGTAATTTTATCAAGTAATGTGTACGTTTTGTCAAACGGCCGCCGCGGGGCTACCTGTTTAGCAAATATTTTTGTGCTATTATACCGTTTTACAGATTACATTTAACAAGATAAGTTTTATGTTCCTGTTGAAACGGATCAATATTTGGCTCGCGGTGATTAGAGGTGGTATGCTCAAAAGCGGGCACGCTCTGACGAAGTCTTAGATGACTACATGTAAGTGGCAAAGTCTTATTTTAATGTTGAACGCCATGAAAAGATACCGATGAGACGCGCCGCCTCAAATGAACTGGCAGTTTCGGCAACACGGTCATTGCAGAACGCTGTGGTGTGGTTTTGCTTGGATGGCACGGATTGATGGAGTTCAAGCTGCCACCAGTCAAGGCAGATCCTGGGCACCTGCCGGCTTGTTTTTTACTTCTTCGATTCGAAAATACTCTTGAGCAAGCAAAATTACGCGATACACATCTATATCACTTTGTTTATCGGTGGTTTTCCGCTACAAGGCTGAATTCTTACTCTGGCCCTATTTGTGAACAAGAATATTTAAATTATAATGACTTATTTTCATTTCCTTGAGCTCTTTCCTACGTTAGTGTTCACATTTTTGGATACTCAACCTTATGCCCTAACTTTTTATAACATGTTGAATGCGAGTTTTGCGATCTATGCAAAATGATAATGATTGTGAATTCTCATATCCGCCTTCATTCGCGCTATCCCATAGTTGCTGACTTAGAAAAACAAAGAGTTAAATATAAGATCAGAAAAGGCGCCTGAAATAAAGGTGTCCAAAGTGTTGTTGATGATTAATGATTTTTCTCCATCTTTAATTCCAAGGAAAAATAATCAAAATCGGTTGTCTCGAATCGAATTAATTATGCTCTTCAATTTTTCCACAAAACTATCTGTGACCCAAACCTGACTGATATTTTTCAATTTGTCATACATCACGCATAATGGCGAAACTTTGTCGTGTCTCTATGTTAGAATCAAGCTTCATTATATAGTCTTCGCCGCAAGCAAAATCACTACCTGTAAATATATATATTAACCGCCCTCGGGGCTTGGATCCAGGCATCTAACAGCCAGAAATTCTGGGTAGTATTTTTATGAGGCGTGTTCAACTGAATTAGTTTTTCTTGGTATTTAGCATTTACTTGCGCCTAAAGCTTTTACGAGATGTTAAAATTTCAACGATAAAAGTTTCAGTCAAGTTGCAGTAATTAATGACTTCTTGATTTTGCTTGTTGGCAGTCTTGCAAAATCCCTCGAAAACATTACAAAAATGCCGCTTTGCTTTATCCTTTCTTCTCAGTTTGACTACATATATATATAGATAAGATTGTAGGAAATATATTGTTTCGTTAACGTCTCTTCTTTACTGCCCCCAGCCACAATAGCGTACAACTTATATCGAAGTTCGACGCTACCGTAAACCAATTCACAGTGATGTGTTACATTGGTGATAATTTTGCTAAATTGACAATTTAAGTTTTGGCCTAATTAGTACGAACGTGTTAGGTAAGTGATTTTTTCGAATTAGAAAAAGTTTTTTTACCAGTTGGGATCGATCTGAATCATCATTTTTTCTTTTGTTGTTCAAGATTTTGTTCAAATTACTGATATTCCCCACAAAATGTCTTGGTCATTTAGTAATCTATTTCCCCGCCTTGAATTATAGAACTTTATCTATATTCCGACAATTTTCTTTTCCCTCTTTAAAAGGCAAGAAGCAATGTTTAACCCTTTCGTATTATAGATACTGATAATCTTTTTTCAATTTGCACAATTACTACTCTCAGTTTGTCGGAACATCCAAGCGGAAACAACCTTAAATACAAATTACGGCAGTAAAATTTTTGTCTCATCGCGATCTCGACAAGAAGAGTTATGAACAGAGACAAGTGGGCTACGTCAACGACGCCACAAATTATATGTTATTAATTACTATTGGCGCCGTAGGCCTTCCTGCCTGGTACTCATTTTGTGGCTAAAGCAAACACCAACATGGTCGAGTATATTGGCGGCCATTACTACCGCAGCTTGTGCACTCCTGAGTCTATCGGATGACACAGTTCCTCTATATGTGTTCCTTGCTAACAAACGGGAAATATTTATTGATGGAAGCAGTCTAACTCTAACACATAGAAGGCGCTAACAAGAATGCAACACATAAAATTAACTAACGCCATATAAAGGGTGCGAAACGTCCAAAACAGTATGCGATGGAAATGTTAAATTTCCCACTACCACAGCGGCAACGTTGTTTGCTAATAACATTCTAAACGTAATCTCTCAGTATGATATACACCCGAGCTTATGAAATTTCACGCAGTTACTCCATTTACTCTCGTTCCAACAATGGGAGCCGTTACTGATTATAAAGGTGTCCCATCTGGCTTCGACCCTCGAACGGTATAATATTTTAATTATCGCGCAGTAATATGCTAATTTATTACGTATAAACAACGCGACACAGTTCCTATCGTTAGAACGTTTTTGTGAGTGGACGATGGGAAGAATGCACTAGAAAAATTGACATTCGTCACTTGTGACCGTAAAATCAAATTAGAAGTATTCAACGATGAAAGCTGTTCATAAAATAGTGTTGCCCCGAGAAATTAACATACTAATTATGCCATAAAAGGAGAATTTCGTTTAAGGACCAGCCTTTGAACATTTCTTGGAATGCGTCAGAAAAAATTACAAGCCTTGTAGAATTAACGACCTGGTAATTGGTACCAGATCTCCTACAGTTCCTATAAAACGATCTTATCTAACTACTTAATATAATCTAATTACACGGGAAAGTATAACTATGACGAAAATGCAAGTGTTAATTTATCATCTCGAGATCACGAATACCATTTTCACAAGTAAATAATTGAAAATAATATTATCAATTATCAGCATCGCCGTTAAAATTATTCGCATCGATACTGTTTTTATTTTTTAGTATATATATATGGATATATATTGTTGCCTTATATGCAAGTTGAGAATATACTATGCCCATAGCATATTTTATTTTCTTTACCGAAAATACATTTATATCAATTAGTATACTGCGATTTGATTAAAATATATATGATATTTGCGAAATATTTCTACCGAACGAAGTTTGCAGACATTCCGTCGTCTCTACCACCGACTTTCATCTAAAATGACTCGCAAATAACTGAATATTGACGAGAAGTGCACGAATGCATTTGCAAAAGATTTCAAACTAAATTCAGTAATGAGTAGCTTGTTTTTAAACATGATAAAAATACCTACTGTACAAATAGAATGTAGACAAAAACGGGGCGACGCGAAAACCAATACTGGTTATCAAGCAGCGACACTCTCGACCTTATAAGTTCAACTAAGAATGAGATTTATGTATTTAACACCTAATATGAAGCTATTCCTGAAAGGAACACAAATTCTATCTGGTATGCCAGTATGCGAAACTACAACGAAATACAACTCAGCGCGACTTCACTTTCTAAATCGCGAGAATTATCCCTGTTTTGGTTTAAATCCTATAACTCTCTGGTACGCCCATGCAAAGCAACACTATTCAGTTCTCAGAGCACTTTTGCGTGGCCTCTCTTCGGCTCAAGCTTGGAAGTAATCAAGTCAGCTATTCGCCTTTGCCAAGTATAAATTCATCGAATGACCAATTCAAAAGTAAAGAATTATTAGGTTTCAAACAGGCAATATATACGAGATAGCGTACTGTAATTCGACAAATAAAAAAAAATATTGAAAAAATGAAATATTTTCACCAATATTACTTTGTAACTCGAATGACGTCAGCCTTCAACGAAAATCAACATTAAATATAATTTAGAGTAAATCAGGATAAACGGCGACACATATAATTAAGCGCTTGGTAAAATTACAGGAACAAAGCGACGTGTACGACATGATTTCTATGCGCTACGATACATAGGTAAACATTTCCTGCTACGCTCAATTTTGTTATGTTGAGAACAATGTTCAGCTTTGCAAATTTTGCACTGCAACCCAGATTTGGAACACTCTGACTTAAAAATCAGAATGCATTACATTTACCTATACGTTTTTGATGAATAAAATTATATTTAAATAACGAAATAAATAACAAATCACAACCATTTGAATAAAAAACCTTTTCAGTTATTCTATATCCTGAAACATCTTTATTTTTTGCGAAAATACATTGATCTTACTTAGCACGTTCAATTGAATACAGTAATAGTACATAATTTATAGTGAATATTTAATTTGATCTAATTGTCAATAAATTATATGGAATTTGTGAATGAAGCCTCGAATATTATTGCATTCCATACATTGGAAGAAACAAAAAAAAAACTGGTTTTCAGCTCAGTTTCCATCTGTGACACCAAATGCATCCGACTAAAGGGCTGATAAGGTCGTTTCCTGCTTTGAGGTTTTTACATGGCATCATGGCGCAGTTTCTAGTGAATTT